TCCACTTGTTGGCAATCTTGGTGAATGTAGTCGAGCCAGACGACATGAGAATCTGACGGATCCGATTGTTGAATTTCTGAATGTCCTCTTCGGTGACTTGTAGGAAAGCGTGAGCGGTGCGTTCCTTGGTCGTGTTGTCAACCAGTGACCAGACACTGTCCTTCACAGGGAACTCATCGTTCTGGTTGCGGATCTTGGGCAAGATGCGCACTTCGAAGCCGCACATGGAGAACAGGAGGTTCGGATTGTCCCTGCTGTACACGCTGGCGAAGGTGTCTTCCCATTCAATAGTCGTCACGGATCTTGGGAGGCGGTTCTTGAGATCCCAGAACACAGCTCTTCCGAGGTTGACGTCGTGCCTCATGAGACGCATACGCGAATCTCTGGGCCAGCACTTCTTGCTCTTGTAACCAATCACGTTCTCGAAGTTGGGATCAGGCTGCTCTGTCAAGAATCGCTGGATTAAGTCGCGAGATTCATCCGCCGTGAACCTCAAGAACACCCAGATCTTGTCGATGTACCTGGTGTACAACCTAATCGGGTGTCTTGTTTCAGTCTCCCGGTCCTTGAACTGGAGGAAGTCATTGGGTGCGTGGGGAGGACCAGCGATCTCGCTGGCACGCTGCGGGCCAAGCAACAGCAGATCGAGGATGAGACCGTAGTACTGGAAAACGAACGCTGAGAACTGCAGGCCACGAATCATACCATAGCTGTTGACATGGTTCATGTCCTTGTAAGTAAGGGTAACGTTATTCTTGGCCGTGATGTAATCCGCAAGGTTGTGGTCCATAATCAAACGAAGAAGCGAGTTGAGCAAGGTCAGCTCAATCTTCTCATAGACCTTGGAGAGCTGCGTCTCAATCATGACATTGCACTCGCCGTTCGCGGTCTCCCAGACATTGTCGAGATTGTTGATGCCTTGAGCCCACTTGTACACAAGCAAAGGTGGCACCTCCGAATCGGAAGGCTTGATCCAAGCGGGGAACAGATGTCGCTGGTCAGCTTGATACCACAAGTACTGGTCGAGATAAGCATCGCTGATCTTCTCGATCGGCTCAATATCGTAGACCGGGTTGATGGTGCTGTAGTTGTCGTTCATATCGATGCCGACTTCCTTGAAAGCTCTTTGAGTGAGTAGGAAGCGTTTGATACGCTCGAGGGTGGTGCCTGGACTGTCATATGCCTGCTCGATCAAGGCCAACTCCTCACGCTGACTCTGATTCAATCTTCCCTTGGTCGAGTAAGCCTCACGCAAGCGCTCCAGCGCCAAGATAAGGATCTTGGTGTCATGCTTGTAAGACACACTGGGGAAGGGGATGGGAGAGAACTTTCTCGACTCAAGCCAGTGCACCGTAGTGGTGTAGATGGCAACAGCCTCCTCAGAAGAGACGTAGGGACCATCCTTCATGTGGTTGTGCTGGCGTTCTTGCTCAGCCTTGAGCCACAAACGCGTTAGGCGGCCAACGTTCTTCTTGGCAACGGTCTTGTCGACGGTGGCACCCCGGCGAATACGCTCACGGTTGTAATGAGCGACCGAAATCCACCAATCGGCCTTGGACTTGACGTAACGCAGAATGATGTTCTCAATAGCTGCGGGAAGTCCAGGAACCTTCCAGGGAATGTTACTCTTCCAGCATCTCCACGCCTCAGAAAGATGTTGAAGAACCGTGTTGACCTTGCTCTGCTTGATACCTTCCGGCATCATGTCCAGCAGATCAGCCATGACGGAAGCACGAAGCTCGAGATCGAAGTGAGATTCGACACGCTGCTTAGTGACGGTCTTGGCAACTCCCTTGCTGTGACGACCCTCGAACTGACGGGAGAGGAGGTTGCCGAGCCATCTTTCAAGAAGGGGGATGATACCGCGCATGAAGAAGAGCCACACACGCCATGCCGGCGCCCAGAAACCGCAGCCTGGACCCTTACCAACCGGGCCGGCGTTGAAGCGATAGTAAATGAGATGCTTGAGATCCTTGCAGGAACGGATCTGGTGCATCAACTTGTACTTGTAACGATACATACCGGTCAACTGTCCGACGTGGTTGAAGGCATACAGAATACCATCGGCAAGCTGGAAGGCGTCAATGTTGCCAAGACGGTACTGTACCTGGGCATCGACAATGAGCTTGGTCAAGCGCAGAATTTCACGCATAAGATGGAAGGCATTTCCGAATCTGGACTTCTTTCGCTCCTTGGTCGTCAACGTCTTGACGGGCTTCAGGTTGAAGTTGTAGTCCAAATGGAGATATGTGAGGTTCTTGCGGTGGATAAGCAGGTTAAGCATGTTGAAACCCTGTCGGCAGACTTGCAAACCGGCTTCAACCCAATCGATCGTTGTCTGCTGGAAGAACTTTGTCTGTTTCAGAGTCCGAAGCAAGTTTTGCTTCTGAAGAGATTTTGGATGCTTCTTGTGCAGCTCATTGAGGACGTAGGTCTTTAGAAGCTTCTGGTACGAGACGCGCACCTTGACGGGCTGCTTCGGCGGGCAGTGCTCCAAGTACCAATGCTTTACGAGAGGTACATCCTGGGCACGAACCATACGTCCAGAGCGGCGGTCGAAGGGGAACGGCGCCCACCAAAGCTCGATGGCCGATGTCGTCTCCTCCGTATACAGCTCTTCCTCAGCCATGAAAGGCTCGACGCCAGCAGGCAGCTCAAACGCCTCCTCTTCCGGCTCCTCGATGTTGCCAGGTCCGAAGAGCTCATCTTCATGGCTAACTGTAAGGTTCTTGGGGGCAACAGCCCGCGACGAAATCGGGTTGATGCTCGTGTCGAAGTAGAACGCGGGAAGGTTGTAGTCTTCTGTGCGCGTATAGACAACTTGAGGGTATGAGTGGACTGACAAGTGGACGCTTCTCGGAAGTGCATTGTAAAGATGGGGGTAAGCCACACGGCACTCCGTTCGGATAGGGTTTCTGAAAATGATGCGATCCATAGCATTGAACTCGCCAAAATCCTCATCGTTAGGGTCAATGTCCTTGTAAAGTGGCTCGAAACGAGGCCCGCCCGGTAACGCCACATTCAAGGCCTTTGCTGTGAGGAAACTCTTGAGCTCGAAGAGGTAGTAGTAGTTCTTGTCGACAACCTCAGACACCAACGGCCGGCTTAGACGGTACAAACTCGCCATTTGCGGCAGGGTGAGATTCCACTTCTTGTAGCTGGGTCCGTTGACGTGGGGCGTGTCGAGAAGCGGCTTGTGGTCATAGAACCACTCATAAATTGCTGCTTCTTCGTCCTCATCCAACTCCATCTGAATGGGTTCAAGCGGCTCGACATCCTCGATGTTCTCGGACCAGGAAAGGGGCGGTTCTTCGTCGTCGAAAGGCGGAAATCGCATGCGCTTGAATAGTCGGCGGTCGCTCTTTTCCTTGCGCATTACCGTCCACATACTGGCCCATTGTGCAAAGAAGACGGGCTCGATGACTCTCGGGATCTCATTCACGAGGGTCAGACAGCCGTTGACGTGATAGAGAACCTTGACCTCTCTGGCAGCCTCCCAAGGCATGGGCATGTTCTCGAGCAGCTTCAGCACAGCATGGGGCATGAACTTGAGCGCACCGAGATAGCTGCGCTTGTCACTGGTGTACTTCTTCTGCGAAACATCTCCAATATCCTTGACGATCTTCCGCAAGTGCTCTGGTGGCATGTCGGCCTTTTCCGTCTCGACGAACCCGCCCTTCCTCTTCTCGCCGAAGCGATTCCCCTGCATGCGAAGCCATTCCTTCTTCTTCTGGGCAAACTTGGCGACATGGGGGTCGGTTGGTGGGAAGAACCCAGGCGGCGGCGGTGCTGGGAGGGCAGGAGGAGGTGGGAGAGAGGACGGAGGCGGCGGCGGAGGAGGTGCTGATGGCGGCGGAGGAGCGCCCCAGCCGGGGGGAGGAGGAGGTGGTGGCGGATAGGACATGGTTCGATCTTTGCTCTATGATGCTTTGTTGTTGTTTATGCGGTTGTTTTCGTCGTAGTCGTCGTCGTCGTTAGAGGAGTACACTAGTAGGCGTTGGTGACGAGATAGATGGTTGGATATCGTGAAGTCGCCTGTCCGCGCGATGGCGGTTTGCAGTGCGCGTGCGTCGTCCCAAGGCCTGTCTTGCTGAAGAAAAAAAAAAGACGGGCAAATATTAAATTCCCATTGATGTTGGATGAAAAAACGGGCGTCCGTCGACCTCGCACCGAATCGCAGCGATGGTCGATCAAGTTGAGAATGGGGACGTGGATGTTGTGGTTGTGATGTTTGTGGTTTGATGGTGGCGCCAGGATGCTGGCGTTGACGTTGGCAGGTTCGCCTCGCTACGAAAAACTTGAACAGCCTCGCGACGGCGGCGTGGGCGGTCGATGAAATTCAGAGGCCGGGGCGGGAGGTCCAGGTCCTGGCGCGCCAAACGGGGAACCTGGTAGCGGGACTCTTCGCTGTGCAAGTGCTTGTTGGCAGCTGCAGCCTAGCGTCCGCTGTTAACGAAGAAGGCCTGGGCTGTCACTTCCAGATTTCGTGGCGAAACGTCTCTTCACTGTTACGCCCTGTAACTTTCAATACGCGACCCCCGTTACGTAGCAGATCTGGCTTGGCAAGCTTACAGCACGTCAAAGATGCATGTAACCGAGTATAGCAATACATATCAGTCCAGGTAGCTGATACTTGAAGGTGGGGCATCAGCTAGCTGGCTGTTTGCGCCCAAGTACCAAGACGACACCTCGGGTGTTGAATCTCATCGTGAGGCTTGACAAAGCAATGCTTGATATTGTTCCCTCACTCCGCTTTCAAAAGTGCACACAAGAACCCGCCCATCTGGTTCAGTTGACAGCTCCCTCATGCGAACATCTGCAAGGTTCAGACCTCATCTGGATCGTCTGGAACTCTGATCTCCAAGTGGAAGCAGGTACAGACAGTCAACTTAAAAGTTCAGCCTCCCTCCCCCCCCGGAGCAGGTATCCTCTCCCCCACACCCCTTGCTCGGATTAAGTCATACCCAATCATTACAGCGCTCGAGGCCCAAACAGCTCCGCTCGATTCGCTAAGCCCCAAATCGCCCCCACCAAAACGGCCTTTCAGTGAAAATTAATTCTTTGACCCCTCTGTCCGCCTCGCCGCAGCCGGGTTTTGCTTTGCCAACCATCCGGACCATCACCACTTCCGTCCACCACTCCAAGTACCCATACCGGCAACCCGGACTTCTGCCTCGCGCCCATACCCCCGGAACCCGCATATTTATCCCGAGTCCATCGAAAGAGACCGCAACCATGTCTCGTTTCTTCCGCGGCGGTGACGACAGCTCCACCGACAGCAGCTCCGAGGAGGAGGAGGTCTACACTTCGGAGGAGGAGGAGGAGAAGGTTCAGGCCGAGGACGAGTCTTCGTCTGAGGAGGAGTCTGACGAGGAGGAGAGCGACGAGGAGTCCAGCAGCGACGAGGAAGAAGGCGCCAAGAAGAAGGGTGCCTCCCGTTTCTTGCAGAGCGACGACGAGGAGTCCGAGGAGGAGGAGGACGAGCAGAGCGACGATGAGGCCACCACCAAGGTCAAGAGCGCCAAGGACAAGCGCTTCGACGAACTCGAGTCCACCATCAGCCAGATCCAGAACGGCCAGAAGATTAACGACTGGAGTCTTATCGCCACTGGTTCGTATATCCTTCATGCATATATACGCCCTCGATCTGTCTTGCACTGATGCTTACTTCCCCCCGTTTAGAATTCGACAAGCTCAACCGCCAGGTCGTCAAGCTCCAAGATGGCAGCAAGGCGCCCAAGTCCTACATCAAGGCCATTGCCGACCTTGAGGACTACATGAACGAGACTCTCGCCAAGCAAAAGGTCACCCCCAAGAAGATGAACGCGACAAATGCCCGTGGTCTCAACGCCGTCAAGCAGCGCATCCGCAAGAACAACAAGGACTACCAGACCCAGATCGATGCCTACAGGAAGGATTCCGACGCTTTCATGGAGTCGGATGATGAGGTTGCCGCGCCCAAGGTTGTTTCCAAGGTCAGGTTCGAGGCTCCCGTCGTCAGCGCCGAGCAGCAGGAGGAGGACGACAAGGGCTTCTCTACGGTCGATTCGCGCGGCAAGGTCGTTCAGTACACCCCCGAGAGCATCCTCAAGCACCTCCGCGCCATCATCGAGTCTCGCGGCAAGAAGAACACCGACCGCCTCGAGCAGATTAAGGTTATGGAGACCCTCAACAAGGTCGTCCCCATCACTCCTTACCAGAAGATCCGTGTCCTCCAGACCCTTATTTCCGCCCGCTTCGATCTTGGTGCTGGTGGCGCCGCCCAGATGCCCTTGGACCAGTGGAAGGCCGCTGAGCGTGACCTTGCCTCTCTCTTGGAGATCCTCGAGAAGGAGAAGGACCACGTTGTTGTTGAGGGCGCTGAGGAGTGGGATGATGATGACCATCTCCCCACCATCCCCGAGGGTGAGAAGTACCTCAAGGTCCCCGGCAGCGTTGTCTCGCTCATTGAGCGTCTCGATGACGAGCTCACCCGCTCGCTCCAGGCCATCGATCCCCACACCTCCGAGTACATCGACAGGCTGACCGATGAGGGCTCCCTCTACAACATCATCTTCCGTGGTCTTCTTTACTACGAGCACCTCCGCAAGGATGCTTCCCTCGAGGTCCCCCAGGAGAGCTTGAACCGCATCATCCAGAGGCGTTTGGACCATGTTTACTACAAGGTATGTATAGAGATCATGCTGGAATACTCAGCCGCCCTTGCTAACCATCTTCTTTCAGCCCGCCCAAGTCGTCAAGATCCTCGAGGAGAACGCGTGGAAGCAGGTCTCTGCCGAGGCCGATTCCGAGATTACCCCCCGCAGCCAGTCCGGCGATGCTGGCAAGCTCATCAACATCCTTTCCAACTACCTGTTCGAGAACAGCGAGGGCATCATCCGCGCTCGTGCCATGCTTTGCCAGATCTACTTCTTGGCTCTGCACGATGAGTACTACAAGTCTCGCGACCTGATGCTCACCTCCCATCTTCAGGAGACCATCGCCAACTTCGATATCGCCACCCAGATTCTCTACAACCGCACCCTCGTCCAGGTCGGCCTTTGCGCTTTCCGCAAGGGTCTCGTCTACGACGCCCAGAACACTCTCCAGGAGATCTGCGGCAGTGGCCGTCAAAAGGAGCTTCTTGCTCAGGGTGTCATGATCCAGCGTTACAGCCAGGTCACCCCCGAGCAGGAGCGCCTCGAGAAGCAGCGCCAGCTTCCCTTCCACATGCACATCAACCTCGAGCTCCTCGAGTGCGTCTACCTCACCTGCAGCATGCTCCTCGAGATTCCTCTGCTCGCTCAGACCGGTTCTTCGCCCGATGTCAAGAAGAGGATCATCAGCAAGACCTACCGCCGTATGCTCGAGTACCACGAGCGCCAGATCTTCACCGGTCCCCCGGAGAACACCAGGGATCACGTCATGCAGGCCTCCAAGGCCCTTGCTGCTGGTGAGTGGAAGAAGGCCACTGACTTCATTCACAGCATCAAGATCTGGGACTTGATGCCGAACACCGAGGATATCAAGACCATGCTCGCCAAGCAGATCCAGGAGGAGGGTCTCCGCACCTACCTCTTCACCTATGCTCCTTTCTACGACACTCTCGCCATTGCGACCCTCAGCTCCATGTTCGAGCTCGACTCTCGCAAGGTCTCTGCTGTCGTCAGCAAGATGATCAGCCACGAGGAGCTCGCGGCTGCTCTTGACCAGGTCACCGAGACCGTCATCTTCCGCAAGGGTGTCGAGCTCAGCCGTCTCCAGAGCTTGGCCCTCACTCTCTCCGACAAGGCCAGCTCCCTCATCGAGACCAACGAGCGCACGCTCGAGCAGAAGACACAGGGCTCCGCCAACGCCTTCTCCAGGAAGGACAACCGTGGCGGCGGCCAGCGTGGTGGTGGCCAGCGCGGCGGCAGAGGTGGCGCGAGGACGGGCGGCAACCCTCAACGGCAGGCCGGTGGTACACAGTTCACCGGTGGTGCTCTGGGTAATGCGGTCCGTGGTTAAAGCTCTGTGGAATAGGGAAATTGGTGGTTTTCGTTTTGCTATTGCATTGGGCTTTGGTGTGTGACTAAAAAGCAATTCTCCAGGTCTTTTAATGGTGCTATCTCCCATGAATGTGTTGCCCCATGGTTAGACCCAGCGAAGTTTAGTCTAGAATCATAGGTTCTCTCGGTTTAATTTGTGTTTTTGGTTTGGGCATAGCTTCACTCAAAATTGCGCGTTTGGTCTTTTCTTCATGATGTGTCAGTTTATCATATGAAATTGTCTGGGCATGAGTGTATAATGTACACCAGGTCAACCTGAGTAATCCTACAGCCAATTTGAAACGAGTAATCCTTAACGAACAGGTTCTCTATCTTTCATCTGAACGAAACTTGGTTTCACGGCTACGAATCTACATAGTAGCTACTTGGAAATGTGTAGGATAAGCCCGTTAGAAAATCGTGATCATTCTTCTGGGTGAGCCACACCGAATCAGCGTTTACACCCAACTGACTTATGATGAGGCGTCATGATTTGCATTGTGCATTTTACCATTACTATAAGCTCATGGCACCGATTCTTCGAAGATCTTGCCATGTTTAGAGGCTTCAAGTATCAGACGTGGATACCACCGGCTTTGTCCACAAACTAAACGCCATATGGCAAGTCTTACTTCCAACATGACCAAGAGCAAAGGCTCGATTGAGCCAACTGTACAAATCCAAACATGTGAAATAATGTCACAGACCATGGTTGGCAAGTTTTCGTAGGAAGTCTGAAACTTCTCATACTCACCATGTCTTGGTAGAGCCACCTGCCTTAAGGGAAGTTTCTTCGTGAGCCCAGCCTGCTCCTGATTGTAATTCGAGCTAACAATCTATCCGTGTCTAGCCTGACATGGCAAGGGATGGTCAAGACCACGGGGGAAGCCCCTGTGCGAGGTCTGTTCTCTTTCTACATGACCGCCTGCCGCAGATGAATTGTAGGATGGGCTAGACCTAGGCAATTTCCTGGATCTATCCTCGTGTACCTATTGCGGTCGAGTAACTGTGTCAAGCAAGAATATGAAGCAGACAGAAAGAGTATGGTGTATGTTCCGCCTTGAAACGGTATCCGTGGGTAAAATTGGATGAGTGACGATTTGGGCAAGTACTCGTCAAAACCAATTGGAAATGGAACAGGAGGATAAGAAGCAACATGTCTTCAGGTTAATGTACGAGCTGGGAGCGAGAAGCACTCACCAATACTTGTTGCCGACTACCCAACATTATCCGTTGGTATGAAGTACCTAGCGTGTATGTTCCCAGCTAGTTGAGTGCTCATCATTGAAGTGTGATGTGGAATACGTCACAGCATTTGCAAGACAACGTCTTCGAGCTGTTTTGGATAGACAGCGGTGAAGCCATATATGGCGAGTGACGAAGTTGTCAGAACAAATGGCGGGCGAAGGCGGACATGATGCCCCCAATTGGAGCCTCATGTTCAAAGCGTAGTCAACACCAAGAGACACACTCGAGCAACGCCTCATGGGCAAAGTTGTATAGGATGGATCATAGAGCAATCCCGGCTGCCTGGGTGTAGACTACACGACTACGCGCCAAGTGGATTCACGAAAGCAAGCAGACATGGCATAGGTCACTTGGGACACACACGAAAGCCAGGCTGCGATCTGAGCTGCCGGTGGCAGCGAAGGGGGTTTTTTGACTCCCATCTATATTCATCTGCTGCAGTTGTGCCAAAAGCAACATGTGACAAGCCAGATCATATGGAGACCAGGCAAATTAAGGCCGTTCTCCTCGTAGTTGTCAACGCCACAGAGAAAACCAGATGATGACCGTTTTTTCTTTTCCGCCCAGAAGCCAGGCAGCCACCCTCTGATAAATCAGAGACGGCGACCACGACGACCACCCTTGCGACGAGTAGAGTCGGAGGGGGTGGGGGTGACGTCCTCGATACGGCCAATCTTCATGCCAGAGCGAGCAAGGGCACGGAGAGCAGACTGGGCACCGGGGCCGGGGGTCTTGGTGCCGTTACCTATAGTATGTTGTTAGCATCAATTATGTGTTTGATGGGACCAGGGGGATACATACCACCAGTGGCACGGATCTTGATGTGGAGGGCAGTGATGCCGAGCTCCTTGCAGCGGGCAGCGACGTCCTGGGCAGCCAACATGGCGGCGTAGGGGGAGGACTCGTCACGGTCGGCCTTGACCTTCATGCCACCAGTGACACGGCAGATGGTCTCGCGGCCACTGGAATCACCCAGAATGTTAGCCTCAGAACCATCGTTATGTTTGTCTTCTCGTCGTCAAAGTTCACGATTCTGGCGGTGGAGCCGGGATCCAGGTGTCGCAGGAGTCGCATGGAAATTCCATAAGTCTACTCCCTCCTCTTTCCCTTGGAACCACCAATTCCACCCGCCAAAAATCGATTCCTCGTCGCGAATGTTTCTTTCAAGAGGTTACGAACCTGAGATCGGTGACGTGGACGAAGGTGTCGTTGAAAGAAGCGAAGATGCGAGCAACTATTTCGATTGTCAGCCTCCCATTTTGGCCGAATGTCGCTGTCGGAAAATCGCGGTCGCAGGTCGAAACTTACCGCCGAAAACGAGCTCACCCTCACGGATCTGAGGGCCAAGGGAGATGTTCTCCTGAGCGGGACGGACGGCCTTCTTCGGGGGCATCTTGACGGTTGATCTGGTGTCTTGGACGTGTGGTGTTGATACTGTCAAGTGGACGATCTCCAGTTTCCCAAAAAATTCGGCGGGGGTAGTTCGACTTCGTGCGGTTGAGAATGCCCTATCGAATTGGGCGGGGAAAGGTGGCAGAAAGCGGAGCGCAGGCACCAAACCTGTCGGACAAACCCTAAATCCCCTTGGCGGCCGAGCTCCGTGCGGCCCCACTGTTCTCAAAATTTCGCGGGCCCTACTTAACGATCGACCAACGCCTTTTTTTCTCTTCTGCTCGTACTTCGACATCGAATTCTGGCATCGTCGCAGATCGACCACCGGCACCATGTCTACGTATGCCAACCCCGATCCTTCCCCTTGACGCCAGAGGAATGGTATCGTCGCGTGTTCCAGGAACAATCTGCGGATAGTCGTGGTCCTCTCACTGGGTGTCTTTGGCCTGTCTTCTCGCGGAGCAGCCATCGCCCCAGCTCGATCCCTCTCATGATTCTCCCTCTTTCCTCCAGGCCTTAGACCGACCAGGCTTGCAGACTGAGAGATGTCTCATGGGGTGTTGGGGCTGAAGGTCTCTGGCCTTCTCCCTTAAATTCATCGCTGCTGCGACAGACGAACTTGGACAAGAGTGTGAAAGCTCGAGTCTTTGCTCTCCGTCACAGTTAGCCCACCTTTCGGACACTTGTTGTCCAGGTCGTGCTTGGCTGTGTGATCCTCACGCTGAAAATGCTGAGCGCATCTCTCCAAGCTACACCAAGCTGTCAATCGAGTCAGCCACGAGAGAATGCCGCACTTGAGCAGCAGTTCTCCACCGGCGCTCTACCACATACCTCTGGTATGCTGGACCTCGTACTAATCTGAGATGTTTAGTTCCGTCCCCACCAAGAACGATGTCCTGGTCCCTGAGACCCTCCTGAAGAAGCGCAAGTCTCAGGAGAAGGCCCGCGCTGAGCGCCAGGCCGAGATCGAGAAGAAGAAGGCTGTAAGTATTACCATCGCTTGAGCTTCCCCCTTCCAGAGGACAACATGATGCACAACATACCATAGCGACTAGGTTCGCCGATGCTGTTGCTAAATACCATCTTTCGGGTCTGACATAACACCTCATCAATGGACTATTTGAACTGCCTTCTAGCGTTCTGGACTCGTTGCTGACTGTGTATCAAATAGGCCAACAAGGAGAAGCGTGGCGTCATCTTCAAGCGCGCTGAGACCTACGTCAAGGAGTACCGCGACGTCGAGCGCGAGAAGGTCCGCCTTCACCGCGCCGCCAAGCAGGATGGCTCTTTCCACATTCCCGCTGAGGCCAAGCTCATCTTCTTGATCCGCATCAAGGGTATCAACAAGATCCCCCCCAAGCCCCGCAAGATCCTCCAGCTCCTCCGTCTTCTCCAGATCAACAACGGTGTCTTCGTCCGCGTTACCAAGGCCACCGCTGAGATGATCAAGATCGTCGAGCCCTGGGTTGCCTACGGTTACCCCAACCTCAAGTCCGTCAAGGAGCTCATCTACAAGCGCGGATACGGCAAGGTCAACAAGCAGCGCGTTGCCCTCACCGACAACTCCATCATTGAGGAGAACCTCGGCAAGTACGGCATCATCTGCATGGAGGATCTCATCCACGAAATCTACACCGTCGGCCCCAACTTCAAGCAGGCCTCCAACTTCCTCTGGCCCTTCAAGCTCTCCAACCCCACTGGTGGCTTCCGCACCCGCAAGTTCAAGCACTTCATTGAGGGCGGTGACCTCGGCAACCGTGAGGAGCACATCAACGCTCTCATCAGACAGATGAACTAAATGCAATTGGGGTTTCGTTGAGATAATACGAACCTTGTCTTGGTCGTTACGGATGCATGGTGCTCGGCGTTAATTGGGAAGCCATAAAGGCCGGATGGGAATGAATGCAACTTTGTCGTTTTCCGATCACAAAATCTGGTTCACCGGTGGATTCGTGATCCTAGCCTGCTCCGTAACTGGCCCTGACTCGGCCCAATGCTATCAAGTTTAATGTCTACATATATCGCTTCCGCTCGTGATCGCGTGCCATTAAGTGACGTTTATGATGAACAAGGAAACGCGAAACGCCTTTTTCCCCGCTCTATTATGCAATACCCAGTAGACCATGCCTGCTACTCAATATGTCACGTAACAATACACTTGACCGTAGGCCCTTGATTCCATACCCGGCCCCTCAGATCTTGATATCGAAACTCGTACCGCAACCACAGTTGCTCGTCGCCAACGGGTTGTCAACAATCTTGAACTGGGAACCGATCAACTCCATGGTGAAGTCAACCTTGCTACCCTTGAGCAACTCCAGCGACGGCCCATCCAGGATAATCTTCGGTACCGTCAGATCGGAAGACGACGGCGCTGGGCTGTTATCGGGGTAATAGCTGAATATCGTATCGTCTTCGCGAATCTCTGATTCCTCCGCGGCCTCTTCGGAAACAGGCAACTCAGGAAGTTGCTCAGGCAGAGTGACCAGTTTCATGAGGTATTGGAAACCGTGGCAGCCGCCGGATTCGACTTGGATGCGCAGCGCGAGGTAAGGGTTGGAATCTTTGGTCATGATCTCTGAGAGGCGCTGTTGCGGCGGTAGCACATGTTAGTCAGTCTGTTCGCTAGCACAATGAGGGGAAGAAGGGGCCTAAGGAAAACGAACCTTCGCTGCCCGCTCTGTAATCTCCAACACCATCTCGTTCCCATCCTCGTCGTTCTGGGGGTTAAATAGCGTGTGGGTTGCCTTGCGTGGGGCCGTGGTGGTGAAGAGGCGCTTGTTGGACTGGCTTGAAGACAGCGATTGTCTCGCGCGCCATTGTGTCTTGGAGACTGAAGCAGCAGCTGGAGCGGTCGCTATCCTCCTGGCGACGCCGTGGTGGGCGCGCGCACGCAGGGGGAGTAGGACGTCGGCCAGGATGGGGGACTGAGCGGTTCGGCGCATGCTCAGTTGGACGAAGAGGCTCGCTGGTGCGGGCGCATTGGCGCAGCGGAGGGGTGGCATGACGGCGGCGGTTGTGTAGAGGTATTAGGTGTTAGTTGGTAGTGGTTTACTAGGTTCGTCGGCGTTGCCGGAGATGGCGCTTTGTCGCGGTTTGAGTGCTAAAATCGCCGTTCCGGGAGCGACTGGACGGGAGAGATACCGACGGAGTTCCGGCTTCAGGAAAGTCAGGTCAGACACAGTCACTTTGGCAGCGAATTTTCGGGGCGGCGCATGATGTCAGGTCCGCCTGCGACCGGTGTCGGGAACCGTCCGCTGATGCGACGGGTGGGCAGGTGGCTAGCAGCTGACAAATCAGGGGTATCTTCGTCCCGAACAACAACTTCAGGGTCCAGACAACGACTTCACTAACAACAACAATACAACATTAAAAGGCAGAAAATACTGAATTTTGGGACTTGAGAACCATCTCGTGCCAAGCAATGGAAACTCGATGCCTATGCGCAAATATTTTCAATGACAAGCCAAGAACCAATCTTCTACAAGATCAAGTGTCTCCTCAACCTCGGAACCATCAGATGGGAACAGATCGGTCGTTCTTCCATAAAATATCAGAATTCTTCTCGCCTGGAAATTCCCAAGACTTTTATAAACGGTAGGGTACAGTTCAACAAGTGAAATAAGTGTTGTACAGGTTGCCAATGGGCACAATCCCTCATCTCTTCTCCCCAAGAGCTGTTGGTTCGAGGATTATCACGAACCGATTCAAACAACTCCCTTGAGAGTACAAGACCTAAAAGATGGAGAACAGTTGGCTTCCATCGTCGGGGCATGCTCCTGAATCCACCCTCTCATTGCCAGCAATCAGGCAGGTTGAGCCCTTTTCACTTAGCGGTGCAAGAGCAAAGCTAGTTGCTCCATTGAACGGGAATTGCTGTCCGGTGCTGGTTTCACCCTCTGTTTGTTCATAATTAGCAAGCCGTCATCTCGGTAGAGCATCTTTGTTTCAACTTACCACCAGCGGCACGTCCACCACAGGAGAAGAGCATGACTGTGTCACCAGTCGCTCGGCGCCCGTCAAAGTTGAGGCAACCCTGAGTCTACATATAGCACGCATGGTTAGCCTGACACTCGTCTTCACCAAGCCATCGAAGTATGAACATACCAAAGTGCTAACAATCAAAGCAGCCTGTGTCCCGCTGTTGTCCTGTTGATTATGTTTTCCCGAGGTGAGAACATCCCACTTCTCATTGGGCGATCCAGTACACTCCACCAGTTGGATGGGAATCAAGTTCTCGCGAAAGTCGCCAGCAGTCGGATCAATAAAGAGACATCGTCCGTCAGGGCCCCTGATGGAGACATCGCTGAAAGCGCGGGTGGCCGTATCATCTCGTTGGTGAGACTCTGCAACTGCCGTGGGCTGCAAAGTACCGCCTGCCCGCGAGACCGGTACAGCTTCGGTCGGGTTGAAGGTGGGAATGCCGCCGTTTCCGGAACTGCCTCCTGAACCTGAACCCGACCCGCTGTCCGGAGACGAAGTGACGGATGCCGTGGCCGTGGCATCAGCTGTCGTGGTGACTTGAGTGGTGAAGGTTGTCGGCTGTTGTGAAGTGGTGCTACCACCTCTTCCTCTCGTGGTGGTGCTCTCTTGTGCGTCAGTATTTCCTCCGGTGCTGGTATCCCCTCCCGTGTTAGTGTTTCCTCCTCCGTTGTTGTTTCCACTACCGCCGCCGTCTCCAAAGGTAAACGACTGGTTAGAGTCGCCCGAGTCGCATGGTGCAACGTTCATGGTGTTGCCTGAGACTGTGAAGCAAGTGCCGTCTTCGTTTTGGGGCTGGAAGGAAAGAGGTCCAGATGAGCCGTTAAAGGCAAATATCTGGGAGTCAGTGACCTCGCCACCTAGGAGATGTCAGCGCCAAAACGTCTCTGCTGTAGGGTACTTCTGCAACGAGTGTTGCTTACCACCATCAGCTCGGCCACCGCATGAAAAGAGAATAACTTGGTTTCCAGCCGCTCGGCGGGGATCATAGTTGAAGCAGGCTTGTGTCAACGTGCTCACCACGAGCATACCGCCGTCTCCGGAGATATGCTTGCCGCTCGTGATAACATCCCACCCCTGACCATCGGTAGAACCGCAGTCGGCAACCTGAATAGGGGTCAAGTTTGCCCGAAAATCGCCGGACAGCTTGTCAACGAAAAGACATCTCCCATCTGATGTCTGTTATCCAGTTAGCATTGGTTGTTTTAAAGCCTTATACTTTGTTTAAGTACCTTGATTTGGACATCGGAAAAGGCACGGGTAGCACTGTCGTCTCGCTGTTGGGCTTCCGCCGTAGCCTCTTCGTTGAGCGAATCGACTGCTCTGGGAAGCAAAGGACTGGCTCTAGCAATCGCTACTATCGCGAGCATAGAACCAAGAGAGGCGAGCATGATGAAGGAAAAGGAAAGTCAACACTTTATTGACTAGTGTGAAGGTGTTCAAGAATGAATAAATCAATGTAATGAATACAATATCTGTGCAAATAAAGGTAAACCTGCCAGCAGGTGAAGAAGGAATGTCTGCAGTAAAGACAGAAACAAAGTACACTTGAAAAGAAAGAAGCGATGCCAGTCACAAATTGGGCCTGAAATCGCGGACGTTCAACCGGAGGGAATAAGGGCCTATTTATTCCAGCCCACTCGGACAAGAACAGATACGTTGTTCATGAGAGACGCAGGGTCAAGGCATTAAGCGCTTGTGGAGTGATTCGGCGTACTCGTCGTTACGTTTGGCCCTTGTTCGGGACTGATCCTTCAAATTTGCGATGAGTTTCAAGCCGCTTCTAGCGCGTCCTGTGAAGTCCTATGTAGGTACCCATGTAGAAGATCTCTTCACACGTGGCTTTGACATGTTGTCGTGGTATTCCCAAGACCTTCAAATTGGGTTCTCAGCCGCAAGCCTGGAGTATGTCGTTTCGGGGAAGGCAAATCCAAGTTTACGGGGCCTGTGACCGGGCCGCTCAAAGCGCCGAGGCTGGTGATGGGGACATGGTTGTGTTAGAGGACTGCAGCAACCTGGTCATCACTCGTTGTAAAGCTAGACGGCTATTACTTGCAAAGTGATCAGTGTCCGTGATGAGGTTGATAGAGGAATCGAAATTGTCATGATGAAACCGTGCCTGTTAGAGATACCACGAAGCCGGCGTTAACGAATGGCAGCGACTCCAAATCTGGAGACGAGCTCCCCGGTCATTGGCAAGGAAACATCCACGAGCGACGAATTGTTGTGTAACTCAGCCCCCAACCATCCCTTCCATTGGTTCGATGATGCAGGAGGTATTCCTGTGGCGGCATGGGCGGCTCGCGGATCTGGAATCTGGAGATCTCCCGAAGAGACAACATCATACGTGTAGGTATTGTAATATCCCAGTCTATACGACATATTTCGAAGCGGATATCTGAGGATGTAATTTGTATATAAGGCATACTAGGTTTTCGTCTTCCCCTTGACTGTAGCGGAGACAAGCCACGGCGCGAAATCATGCTTGCTCAGGAACCTGCTGAGGTCACTAGCCAATCGTGAACTATAAGGTACCTCGTGTGCTATTGATGACGAGCAACCTGTGTTGTTGAAGAATGAGTGAACGAGTGTCCATGACGATGATTGACCGATGCGTGAGGTCTAGACTTCACATGCTGAGATAATGGATTTGGATGAACGGACTCTTTCAAGTCAACAAGGTTGTGAAGTGGAGTGGAACGGAATGCGGAGTCCGAGACGCGGGGATGATCCCAAACATTTTAGACGCTTCTGTTCTCCACGGCTTGCTGTATGCCAAGAGAATCTGGCCAGTCGGGAATGGGGTTAGGGTTATTGTAGCTGTGATTTCGAGGCGCTCCCGCTAGGCGAGCACTGGCAAGGTGCAAAGGGCGGAAGGGCCACAGCCCTAATCGTTAAGGCGGTGCTGGCCCGTGCAGTCTCAATGCCAAGACTTCCCTCCACCTAGAAAATTTCCACCGCTGGCAGCTATCGCGACTCTTTGCACCACCGAGCGAGCAACTTCAATTAAGTCGGCTAATCAACCCAACCAACCGTCAAAATGCCTGGAGGTGTCACTGTTCGGGACGTCGAGGTAGGCCACTACAGATCTCCGTCTTGAGATCTCCTCTGCGGCCGAACCAGAAACTTCAAATCAATCGATCGCTGTCCGAGTCCGAAGTCGATCGGCTGGCAAACGCAATTCTGAGCCCTCAAAAACGATGAGCTGAGCTGGAGCTTGCCGAGCTGGCCGGCGATCACGACGACGAAACACAACCAGCGGGCACGACAACAACAAAAGAAGAAAATGGGAGCAGGCGCGAGGGGGTCGAAAGACTTCCGATGACGGAATCATTGCTAATACGGTATTTTTGTGTGATATGTAGCCCCACAAGTTCGTCAACGCCTATGCTGCTTTCTTGAAGCGCCAGGGCAAGCTGCCCGTTCCCGGTAGGCTTTGAATCCCAAAAGATTTCCCCAGATGAAGAGGCAGCCGGCTAACTCGCGATAACAGGTTGGGTTGACACCGTCAAGACCGGCCCCGCCAAGGAGATGCCCCCCCAGGACATCGACTGGTTCTACGTCCGCGCCGCCTCCGTTGCCCGCCACGTCTACCTCCGCAAGACCGTTGGTGTTGGCCGTCTCCGCCGCGTCCACGGCACTGCCAAGAACCGTGGCAGCCGTCCCTCCCACCACGTCGAGGCCTCTGGCTCCGTTGACCGCAAGGTCCTCCAGGCCCTCGAGAAGATCGGTGTCCTCGAGCACGATGAGGAGAAGGGTGGCCGCCGCATCACCCAGCAGGGCCAGCGTGATCTGGACCGTAAGTTTGCTCTTGGAAACAGTCTTGGTTGAATCAGGCGCTAACACACATGGTACAGGTATCGCCCAGACCGTCATTGAGGCCGATGAGGAGGATGACGAGTAAATTCGTCACTAGATATCATGAATAATATCTAAATCTTCCCCTTTCACGAATACGATACCCGCAGTTTCTGGAGTGAAGGCTTTGCGTCGCATGATTTCGTTTTCCCGGTAGCATATCAGGTTTCAGGCGTCAAAAATGGATTGCTTCTTGGTCATGCCTCGGGTTGCTGGTTTTTCGAATATCGTAAACATCCCAGTGTGAAATATCACCCCTTTACATCCAGACTCTTTGTTGACTCGCCTCTGCTTAGTGCCAGTGCCATAACTATGACCCATCTTGCCCATTGCATACACCCCTCACTTTGTCGTCCGATCTTTCAAAGTGAGGCTTGCGAAGTTTGCTAGGATACGTCTGTTCCCTCGTGTTACATACCATATGCCGGAGAGAGATAATTGGCAGCACTCTCGAAGCTCGCGCGTTTCTCTCCAAACTACAATCAATCCTCTACCATCCATCTTGCCCACGCGTCACATTCCACTTCTACTTTGAAACCGGGAGAATCTATCAGCAAGATCTTCTGTCGGAGCCAACCGTCTTCATTCACTTCATCACCACCCTCTCGTTGGAGCAATAGTTCCTGTATCACGTCTATTCTTATTATCTATCGTGCTTAGTAGAAGCCAATATCATTTTCAGATTCTTACTGTCCCGCGGTTCTACACAAAACAACTTTCGTGAGATCCTCATCTCGGTGTGCTGTCACCTTGAGCTCACAGAGTCGCGTCAAGATTCTCACATGACGACTCACAGGAAGTATCGATACGAGGTTGAATAGATGTATCTCGTTGTCATCCAGCATGGAGCCCTCCGAGTTCATGACCAAGGCGCTTGGCCTACGCCCAATACATGAAGCTATCCTAGAAGGAGACCTCAAAAGGGTCAAGCGGATCCTTCACCAGGACAAGAGCGCCGTGAACACTCGAACCATCAGAGATCAGGTCACCCCTTTACACTTAGCTATACTCACCGGTTCCCTCTCGACAGTCAAGCTGCTTCTGCTATGGAAGGCTTCCTTCAGTATCAAAGACAAAAAGGGGTATACCGCGCGACAGTACGCTCGTTCGGCAACTTTAAGAGCAAAGAAGTTGAAGCAATACGAGCGACTTGGATGGCAGCCAGCCAAAAGGAGGGACAAAAAGGCTCGGTTCATTTCAACCATATTCCGCGAACCCGAGGCCCTTCGAGCTATCCTTTCCACGAATGACCACCCCCTTTCGGGCTCCACAATCTTGACAGACGGGAGGAAGTTGACAATACTACAGGAGGTCGTCACTACGAGTCTGGCGTTCCCGGTCCAGAATTCTACCTGTGGCTTCATCGCCTCTTATGGGTCGGTCGTCCCGCAGATGATGGCAGTAAGCGGGTGGAAAGACGAAGGGGAGTCATCGACGCAAGGAGTCCTTCCCAATGCAAAAATGACCGCTCTAGTCCGATATGCCTGTCAGGTCATGGAGTTCAAACTATATATGCAACCCTACGACTGTCCGGGAGAGTGTCGTTCCCCCGGAGCATGTTAGGAGGTACATGGCATCACAGTACGTTCCCTATCAATGTGCTTTTGACTTATTACCCCTCTACTAACTCGTGCTAGTGTTGAAAAGCAATTGTCCACGGCTTGGGTGCTGAAGTTGCTCCAAGACTTCCTGCAGACCAGCGACTTGGCTCGCATGGCTGAGCTAAAACAAGTCGAACTATCCTCCGAGCGATCCAAGGCCAAGATCTTCCTCAACCACAGCACATGCGGCAGGTAAGTCTGCTTCCCACTTTACAGCTCCATTTCAAACTTGGAGGCACGAACTGCTTTGCTAATGTGACACTACCACAGTTGCCTAGGGTACTTGGCCAAAATCCGTCGAGTGACCGGCGTCACATTCGCCGTCGAAACTATCCCTTTCGTAGTCCCCGGAAGTCGAGCCAAGTCTACCGTGTGCGCCAACTGAGCCGGCTGCTCCAATCCTGCTGCTATACAGCCAGGCCCGTCGTCGGCTGCCCGGGAGCCAACGCCCGCCGCCGAGGCAGATACAGAAGTTGCAGAAAGGGATAATGACTACGAAGAACTCGACCGGCAACAGGAGATGGATGAGAATGGACCGATGGTTGACTTCGGGTCGCTAATCAACGGGGAATATAACGAGGTTGAGGATGAACAACCAGTAAGCCCGAGAGCCGACGACGAAGCTCAGGTGGAAATGCAAGAAGAATTTACGACACCGATCAGACCAAAGCCAACCACCGAGGCAGCTCGCCGGCAGGTCGCTGCTTCTAGACGGCTCCAAGGATTGCTGGGCACCTCTCCTCCGGGTCATTGGGAGGTATTCCAAGGGCAAAATTTCTGTGCCAAACCGTTGAAGGGAGTCAGGAAACGTTTAGGACTTAACAAAGAGGAATTCAACCAATTTCTCGAAGCACAGTCTCCTCGGCGCTTTCTGGGATCACCAAGAGTTCCGTTAAAATCGATCGCGTCCCGCACAACTCAACCCTCATCAGCCCGTCTACTCGGTAACCCGCTTTCCGCGCCGGAGGTAGACAAGTTATCCGATCAAAGATACAGCCTATATCAGAAGGACAACGAGGAGAGGTATAGCTCACAAGAAGGTGGTGACAGGCCTTATATGTTACAGAAGGGTAGCGAACAGCCCTTTGACTCGACCCAGGCCACCACCAATTCGTCAACGTCTGCATCTTTACTCGACCCTATATCAACCATAAACGGCCGTTCGGGTTTTTTCCAGACTCCAGTTCCTGTAACGGCCCCTTCACTGGCTACAGCTCCGGCTCCGTCGTGTTTGCCGTCGATAGAAGCCTCGGTGCAGGGACCTCGGAATCCCGAACGTCTAGGTCAGACCGTTCAACAACCGCCGCCTCGCTCCCCTCCTCGCTTGGAAGTATGTCTTCCACGCCCAAGTTCATCGGAAAGGTCGCAGTACAGGATGATACCGGATGACGAGCCCGGTTCTCCCAGTGCGCACGTTTCAACTCGGCCTCCCCCTAAGACGACTGTAAAAAAGTCCAGCAAACAACTAAACTTGAAGAGGTTCAGCTACCGGGAGAGTAGCCGCCATAGAGATATCTATCCACGTCTATCTGGACCTCCGGCTTCTTCTCGCTTGTTGCAACGCCTCAAACTGGGGCAGTCGAAGGGCTTAGCCGGTAGAAAGGTGGTCGATATGCCCGCTGCCCCTGACAAGGTCAGTCTCGCAGCAAAGATACGACCCAGCAAACTTAGAAGGATTCAGGAGAGGAGCGTGTTTGCCAAAGCCGTCAGGCGGTATCAGGAGAATCGGCAGAATGAACACCAGGCGGACAACCAACAGCGGGGCGAGCATGAGCCACGGCAAGAGCCAAAGCAGCAAGAGTACGAGAAAGAGCCGATGCAACATGGTGGGCAGCCTGTGACTCCAGAAAGATCCTCCGATAATACAGGATCTCGACAAGTCTTGAAATCGATCGAGAGAGCTGTCTCCGCTGCTCCATCCTGGGACGGCTTTAGTCCTGAGACCCCCATTTGCCTGGAGTAGCGCGGCCTGAATCTCCGTATCATTCGGGACAGTGGTCCACTGTTTCCCCATTTCATACCACGGCCACCTGCTTTACATTTTACGAAGCTTGGTTTGTCTGAAGAACAGCTGTACGGATAATGTTGTTGGATTAAGATGTTCGTCGTCCCAGGTTTTACCACGACGATCAAGAAGAGTACTGAACCTCAAGGCCAAGGCTCCTAAAGGGTTCACCCAATTTATGCAGATCGATCCCCGTTCCCAGGCTGAAGATAAGGGACTTGGCCCTTCCTTCCCACAGCAACCCAATGCGGAGGTTGTTGTCAAGGCGAGCTTTCAGGACTCCCTTGTACTCGTCGTTCTTTTTCTTGTCTGATTCGCTCTTGGGAGCAGGCTCGGGTTCGGGCTCAGGATCATCCAGTCGCCATTCCATTTTCGCCTGGAAACTCCTCTCCTTCTTCCTGGGGGGCTGTGGTTCCGGCTCGGGATCGTTGGAAGGGCTCGCGCCGAGCAGGAAGCCGGCTGGTCTACGATTACTCCAGAGTTCCATACCTACCGCCCACTCGCTTTCATAACTATATACGTTGAACTCGACCCGCGTTGCGAGCGAGCAGTATTCTCGGGCTAGGAGGGCATAGGTGGCGTTAATATTGCCCATGAGTGGGTTTATGGTCAGGGTTGCGGTCAGCGGTGTTCCCCGGTGTGCTGGCAGGGTGACAAAGCGTGCACCGAGCGACATGCCGCCTGACTTGTTCAGGGTTCCGTAGTAGAGCTCTCCGCCGACGCTGAAGCGACCGTAGATGCGCTCCTTCTCGCCGGCCTGGCCATTTCCGTTGATGCTGTTCTCTCCTGGCGCAGGTGTCCAGGGATCACAGGTCGAGGAAGAGGCGTCGCCGCCAAAGTTATAAAGACCGCGGAAACCCAGCAGACCACCGTCGGTCGAGTATAGACCCTCGAGACCATAGTTGCCCTTGTCATACTGCACCAAGCCCAGGATGGTTCCGCCATTCCTTAAGGACTGCTCACTGACGGCTCTTACTTGGACCTGAAGCGCTTGGGTAAAGCGCTTGATGATCATGCCCTCGAGCAGTGACTTGGGCAGATACAGACGGCCGTAGAGAAGAGAGTGTGTGTATTTGCTTGGATCCTGATCGGTTTTCCCTCCAGCCAGCGTCCCATTAGCCACAGCGGCATCTGATACTGCGCCTAGTAGTGCTTGTGCGCTTTGTGGTGATGGCGGCAGCCCAGACAACGGATCGGCATCGAGCATGTAGTGTTGGCCGGGCGAGCGAAGGTCATGTAGACGGCGGTAACATCGTAGGAGAGCGGGGAGCGGGATCTTGTCGGACTGGGCGGCGATATGGGTCAGGGGAATGGAGCTGTGTAGGTATGATATCGAGCCGTCGACGACGCCAACACTGCCGAGTTGGTAGCTTGTCGCAAAATGGGGGGTTGCGAGCGAGGAGAGGGTCAGGCGCAAGCCACGGGGCAGAGGGAAGTCGATAAGTTCTGGTTGTTGGGTCTTTGTATTAGTCTTCAAGTACTACTGCAGGAGGCCTACCGAGAAGCGGTAATAACAACACAATAACACTGTTAGGATCGCACCTCTGGATGTCGCATTCAGCTCGTTGTACTTGTTGTCTTCGTTCCACCCCGTTGCGCCGTAGAAGGCATTGGTGATGTAGTTCATGAACTCGCGCATATTGGAGTGCTTCCCGTGTGGTTGACGTAGTCGCGAGTCTGTCGCGCCTGGTCACCTCTGGAGTGTCATTGAGAGGATATATAGGGTCGAGAAGGAGGAAGTTGTTTAGTTTTTTGAAGTTGCAAATCTCAAACAATTCCATCATCGCAACAGCCGTTATCGAGGTACGTACCGATGCACCTGGGGGTTGCTGTGATAGTGGCTTGGCCCCCACTAATAGGGCTCCTTTGGGGCTCCACAGATCCACCAAGGAAACGTCCACGGCGATCGACAACAGCGATGAACATGGAAAGTCTCATTTCATCTACACTACTTGAAAACGTTCAAACATTGACTCTCCTCGTTCACGTATCACTCCATCAGGCTTCTAGATTATACTTCATTCGATTTCGCTACTGAGTCTGCTTGAACACACACCCAACTACGACAACGTGTTGTCGCTTAGTTGACCTCGCCAAGTTCCTCACGCCCATCAGCAAAGACCTTGTCAAAGTCACCCTCGGTCCAACGAATATCCGGGTTGAGACCGGCAAACTTCCAGACGCCATTGATCTTCTTGTAGTAGTGGGTGTTGTGGCTGTGGGCGTGGCCGGTGACGGCAACCTTGGTGCAGCTCGAGTCTGTATAGACCTGGTGAGGCACGCGGAGCTGGTGGTAGCCGATGATCTCCGTGTCCGACACCTTCTCCCACTTGCTGATGCCGCTCATAAAGTGCTGCGTCCGCAAGAGGGGGTTGCCAATCACCTTCTTGTCCGACACCATCTTGATGAACTCCTCGGCCGGCATGGCCTCCCAGAGCTTGTTGAGGAACGAACGGTAGTCGATCTAAGCCCGGGTGAACATCATCAGCCAGAGTCACCACTTTGCAAACTTGGAGGGATCTCTCATCTTACCCTCAAGGTGGGAGCGATGCACTTCCTCAACCGGTCAAAGTCCTTGGTGTCATAGCTGTCCGCCCACTCGAAGCATGCTTCGGTGCAGCCGAGGTACTCTGTTCTTCTTGTCAGCAAACATCATGGAGCTTGGAGGACACGAACGGACGAACCCTCAAAGGTGATCTGAGTCTTGGGGTTTGCTGCGTTGGCCATGGTTGACAGTGATTTCGATCTGACTTTCGAGAGGAGCCAGAGAAGACAAAGGATCTGATCAGGTCCCCAGAGATGGGCATGAAGGCCTTATCATTCATTGTGGTCTCCCTTGCAGCTCGCAGCACCTCGTCCAGGTTCGTCTTACTCGATGGCTACACAGTCTTCCAAGGTTTCGGGGGGCCGTATGTAATGTCCCCATTCCGGAGTCCGAGACGTGCAGGATGGGGAAGTGCGGTCGTGTCCCGCAGCCCGCCGTCCCGGTACCTATATATGGTCCAATAACACCCGCTGGCAAAACCCTTGGGAAACGCAAGGGGTGGTGGTATCTGGGGCTTCAAATGCACATGCAGCCTCTCGGCTCTTTAGACGTCCCGTGCTTTCTCGCAGTCTGGAGTGGCTGGGTCTCTTCAGCCAGACGCACAATGTCTTTGTCTTCTCAACATGTTACTCAAACAAGACCGTGCTATTCCATTCTCAGTCGGACACGCTGGGCTAATGTGTGGTTTCAACAGCAGGACTGTCGGCGCCAGAACATCGGCGTGAGTACAAGTATACCAGGCCTTGGTCCAGCCAACAGGGTTCGCTTCGCGCAAGACGCTTCGCTTCTGCTGACTACAAACCGATGCCGTGCTTGGCACCATATTGGTGGCACGACTTCATGCCATCGAGCATAGCCCAGGCACAGATCGCAGGTTTAAATATTACAGACATCATGGAACATGCATACAGACGTTCTCGTGGCAGTTATTGGCATGTTGTTACGTTGGCAAGCCACTCTGCAGCCACTCAGCATGGACCGTCAGTTCCGGCATGGCTTCGTCCAGTGATGGTCGTTTTGCTGCGACTTCTTCCCAGTGGCATTGCCAAAGCTGATGTCGCTCCAGTTGCTCCAGTCCGACTCATTGCCGTCGTCAAAGTCGGTGTCCTCGCCTCTAGTAAAGACAGCGTCTTGTCCGTCGCTATCGTCAATGATTATCGGTTCTTCCTCGGTACCTCCCAAAGGCTCGATTCCTTCCCTGGCCATACGGCGAGTCTGAACCCGTAGGCCAGATACCTTTGATGTCCTGCTTTCTTCAGCTAGTAATTGTCTCTCTTCACGGGTCATCCTTTTTCTGGCTTTCTTCCGTTCTATCATTCCTCTCTTGAGTCGTGCGGTCTTTGCACCGGTAGCTGCCGTTTTGATTCCTTCCTCTTTCTTTTGTCTCTTGCGCATTTTACTCCCCTCCCGAGTTATTCTTACTTCGTCCCCATCGTCTTCGGCCTTTCGCTTTGTCCCAGCACTCTTCGCCGGTCGTCCTCCCCACAGTCTCGCAACCTCCTTAAGCTTGCTGTAGACTTTTCTTCTGGCTCCCTCGCGAGTCTTGCCCTTTCTCAGTAGCTGTTCATATTCCGTGTGCTCGTGCCGGATATGCGCGCGCACCGCCAGCTTCACCTTGTCATCCAGCTGTACGGTCCCGCTTCTTCCTACTCTCCTGCTCCGCTTCTTGAGCGCATGGCTCACAATCTTCTGGATCGACTCTTTGGGGGTGTTGGGGTACAGTCTCTTCAGTGCCTCTTCAAAGCCGCCTTCCATAGCTGCATCTCGCTTCTGTACAGCCTCTGCACGTTTCGCAGCTGTAGCCTGTTCTGACTCTTGGACGGCTTTGACAATGGAGACCGGACAGCGAAGGCCGATCGGTTTCCGACGCTTGTTAACCACCACGTAAACGGTCTGGCCGGCCGAATGTGTCTCCTTGCGACAATTCTTGGTGATGTACACGTCTCCCTTGGGAACAAAGACGTATCCCGGTGGCATGGGATCGTGGAATCGCGCTTCTGGCTCGTCTTCGTCGCCTGCCATGGTGAGTCGCGTCGGTGCTCTGATGAATATCTTGGTTTGCGTCGGGGTGACTTGAGGAAAATTGGGGTTTGAGTTTCAGATCGAAACTGGGGAAAAGGTGAAGAAGGGAAGCAGGTAAAAGAAAGAACAGTGATACTTGCAGGCTGCTTTCCGCCCTTTAAGTGTTCCGCGACTCGATGACCGTTTTGCTGAGGTGCCTGATTTTTTTTCTCGCGAAAGTGGGTTTCTTGGTGTGCAAATGAACGAGTTCTGAACAATAACAGGAACAAAAGATGAGAACTGTCCCGCGTTTGAGAGAACCCGTTGACGTGTGGCAGCTGGATGGGCTTTGTTTGCTTTGTTAGTTTTGTTTTGTTTTGTTGACTTGATTTCCCACTTTCCAATGTCAACTTCGATTTCAGGGGTTGCACCTTCCTCCACAGTTGTGTGCACGGTCCACATGAGAAATCAGAGGTGGTCCTCGATCTTTCCCTTTTCATTTTCCAACCACATTGTCCAGGCAGCACACATCGTCATCATCATCATCGACTCAGTTAACGGTTTCTCCCAACAAGCGGTCGACATGGCGTCAATTGATCACATTATTGGTCATTGTCCAACTGCGCCCCCAGGATGCCAAGGCCAAGATGGCGTCGCATCAATACGATGCCTCACTATTGGCGCGCGCCAACAAGCTGACAAGCTGAGCTCCCAACACACAAGAGCTTATTTCGCCCCTCATGATGACCTTGGAGCAATGCAACAATCACTCAAGCTCTTTCTACATTGTGTCGAATACTCAAGAGCAAGCAACAGGGCATTCCCGAGTCAAAGTACACCTCATAATGACTCCCCGTCAGTCTAGCTCGCCCAACTCAACACGCGAGGAGCCTTGGGCCAATGTACACCATTCTTGCGAGCTATGCTTGAAGGGATTCCCTCTGGACTTCTCCGAAGACAAAAATCACCCTTCCGGCCTTCCTGGGGACCGATGGGCGCTCATTGAGAGACGACTTGGTGATGATAACCCCAAGTTCCTCGAGCGTGTTAAGGAAGGACAGGCACCAGACCCTTTCGGGCTTGCCCGCACTCTTACGAAGGAAGTCACCTTCTTCGATGTTGACACACCTGACCTAGAGAACTGGGCCGCTCAAGGCTGTTTGTTCTGCCGCCACCTGCTGAACCGGATGGCTGACGCCGGAGAGGACATCGGTGGCACGAGAGTCTTGGGTGCCAAGAAGGGACCGTTCCTCGACTTATCTTCGGAATCCGCCATGTCCATCATGATCTTCGACCTGGCGACCTATCGTTCAGATAGGCTACATACTTTCAGCTTGTGGACATATCATGTGGCATGGCTTTCTGATGGTTGCCTAGGCTGTGACATGCACCGGCCAGCATTGCAGCCTGTTAATCCGACACCCTCGTCGCCTTATTCGCTTTCTCAATATCGAAATTGGCTCGAGATGTGCCGCAAGACGCATCGAAGGTGCCCCAAGCCGAGTGACTTTGTCCCAACCAGGCTGCTAGAACTCTCGAAAACGCCCGGGGGATCGGTAGAAGCTCGACTTTGTGAGACTTGCGAGAAGGACGATGTCGAGCCCTTCGCTGCTTTATCATATTGTTGGGGCGGAGACCAGCCGTTGAAGCTTACCAAAAGTACGAGGACTAAGCTCCTGGAGCGCATCAAACCCGAGGAGCTCCCTCAGACCCTCAGCGACGCCATCCAAGTTACTACTTCCCTCGGCATCAAATACCTCTGGATCGACGCACTATGCATTATCCAGGACGATGATGAGGACAAGGGTAGAGAGTTAGGAAAGATGTCCATGATCTACAGCTGCGCTCTGGTAACGCTGGTAGCCTCACGGGCGGAAGCCGTACAAAAAGGATTTCTCCAAGACCGCCCCATTGGAAATATCCCTGGATTTGGTCTCCGCGGTCACCTGCCCGCGAGCGAACCTTGCGTCTTCTTGATCCCGAGGCAAGACTTTGAGAATATGGGCCGAAGCGACATCTCAAAAGCAAAGAAAGCCAGCTACATCAGCCAACGAGCGTGGTGCTTCCAAGAAAGGTTGCTATCGCCGCGCATTATCGACTTCGGGGCGGTCCAAACACTATGGTGGTGCCAGGAGTTTGAGGACACACCAGGGCATGGACGCCCTCAATGGACTGATGGCTGGGAGAAACCTGGACCCGACGAAGATCATAGCTCGATGGGTGTCGTTGCAAAGGAGCTGGCCTGTTGGGAATATCCTGAAGCTCAGCGTAAGGCCAACGCCAACGCCAAGAAGAAATGGCCTGGAAAGACCGGTGGGAAGGCAAGGGAGTCATGGTATGGGAAGATCGAAAAGCAATTGATAGGCCAACTAGCCGCGTTGGGGATCTCGAAGGATGTGGAAACCCGGTCGGGCCAATGGGCACGCGTCGTAGAACGATATACACTCCGGCAGCTAAGCTTTTACACCGATCGACTTCCTGCTATTTCCGCCATGGCGCAGGTCTTCCAGTCTCGTAACAAGAGCGACTATGTCGCGGGACTCTGGGCCGACATGATGCCTCGGGCACTTCTGTGGGGAAGAGGCTCCTCGTATCTCTGGCCTCGACCAGGAGGGGGCTATTGTGGTCCAACTTGGTCGTGGGTTGCAATGGCCGGTCCTGCAAATATCCATGGGAACGCTCTTTATGAGAAGGAGGCAAGAGACATAGATACAGAGAGGCATGGAAATATTGTATCGTGGGATCTAACACCGCTACACGACTCTCCAGGCTCGGAGATTATTGGCCTTCGCTCTGCAGTGTTGACCTTCCATGGGCGTTTGAAGCCTGTCTATTGGTGGCAGCCTTCTGTGGAAGAATGGGCAACCATCAAACGGCCACCTTGCTGGCGAGATTCACGACTCCCAAGGGTACCTCTACGGGCGGCTGCTCCCACTGCAATAGGCTTCAATCCTGAGACATGGACCGTTGATCCGGCCGACCCGGACGTGGCGAGACTGGACACCCTTCCGCCTAAACCACGCCTTCACCCGTCTATATACTTGTTCACGAGTGATATTAAGGGATTGGAAGAACTCATTTTCGGTCACGTCCAGTTCGATGTCTTCTTGCCCGCATTCGAGGCCGATACTCGTCGAGACAAACTCCAGCTCTTCCTCCTTCCCATGGCCACCGACATACCGTGGACACGTTCTGAGCGCCTGAAGGCAATCAAAACGCATAAGCACTACAAGTACTTGAAAGAGAAGCTCGAGAAAGAACTTCAAGACCCTTGGGGGCCTCATGTGCAAGCCATAGTTCTCCAACAATCCGCTGAAAGTGGAAGGTTTGAGAGAGTTGGCATCTTTCACTACGGATACATGGATGAACCAGGACATGGTGTACACATGAGCAATGATGAGTTCAAAGAGGCCTATAAGCTTCAGCATCAGTGGCTGCACAAGGGACAGAAACAAGATATTTCCATCGTCTAGTTGATGGTGAAATTAGCGATAGACTTTCAACAACGAGCGTTACTTTCAAGCCGCTATTCCTGCAACCTCCCATCATTCTTAGCAACTTCCGGGTACAGGCCCCTTAACCTGCTCTTCAATACTTCATACTCCTTCAAAAATTCCTCTGAATGAGTCGGCATGGGTTCGCCTTCCGTTTCCTTCACATAGCTGTTTACCCACTCCGCGAGATCTTTGACATAGGCGATTTCATGCCCAGGTGTTACTAAGGAATGGAAGAAACGTCCCCGCCCTTTGCTCTCCACACGCTCCTCATATTTTCTCCGCATGTCTTCTTGCGTCGGCAGTTTTGCTCTACCGGCGAACACCCTCGCCAACGCCTGGGCCTGGAAGTCGAAAAGTGAAAAGGTCGCGACGTGGTAGGGAACGCCAATGAACGCCAGCGTCGGGTCGTTGATGTAAAAGATGTCCTTGTGAAGGTTGTGCGTCATGACGCCGTCCGATGTCACAACCAGCTCGTCGTTAGGATCGGCATCAACAGTCGTGTCGGAGTGCAACTGCGGCAGAAAGGGGTAGGACACAATGTATCCGGTGGCTATCACTACTTGATGGATATCTTGTAGGACTGTTCCGTCTGTGAGCACAACAGACCCGGGTATTGGCTGATTGTTCCCGAGTGTCGGCTCTTCCCCTTCAATTTTTGCTTCTGGAGGGACAAACCTCTCCACTGTCGCGACTCGGACGGCGTTCGGAGGCAGTACGCTCGCCGGAAGGTCAAACCGTCCGTTACGAGTGCTCTGGTACGTCTTGTTGGATATCTCGCCGAGTTCCTTACAGACATCTGTAGCGGACACGCCGGCTCCGATCACGAGCGCATTCTGGTCCCGGTACTTCTCAGGATTCCGGTACCTCTTCGAGTGAATAACTCTGTCGGGGAAAGAGTCCTTCCACTCTTTCAGGCCTTCGATTTGCGGAATACGCGGCATATTGTAATGCCCCGAGGCGACGACAACCAGATCAAAATCCCTGACTTTCTGTGTGAACCGAGCGCTAGGGATCCCGTCTTCCTTTTCCAGCGCTAGGGTAGTGATCCTCCACTTTGAACCGTCGCTTGTCTTTCTGACATCCTCGACTCGAGTGTGGAACTCCGTCACTGCATCCAATCCGGACCTTTTGGCTAGAGAACGGATGTATTGGAGAGCAGTGGAATGGCTGACCGATGCCGGACTCCCCTCGGGCCAGTTCCCTAACGCAGTTCCCATCAGTGGTGTTGGGACATTGGTCTTTAGCCCAACATAACACGGGCTCGGGGGCGCGAATCGTATTTCAAGATTCGAAAAGTCCGCGTCTCCACCATCAAAAACGGCACCTGAGGGGATGTGGTGCTGATCTCCGTAAGATGGTGGACGGTAAACATACGGAGGATCTTCCGGTGGACGCTCGTCGAACTTCCATACACCGCCGGCGCCGTTGGACCGTTCAAAGACGGTCACGGAGAGTCCATGTTTGAGGAGATGAGCAGCAGCACAGACTCCGCTGATGCCTGAGCCTATCACTGCCACCGTCTTGTTCACCCCAAATCGAGATTCTGGATTTGTTGTGAAATCGGACTCGGAGTCGGTATCCACGATGAGAGGCATGGCTGTTTGGGGTTCAAGATGAGTGTGTCGGTCGGCCTTTAGGGGTAGATGGGGAACAAAGGCATAAGGGAATCCCGCTGTTGCGGCGGACGTGATATCAATGTTGAATGCAAGACGATGTGATGCCCAACAAGGAGAATGATGTTCAAGCTGTAAATTGCTTTGTCGCAACAACTTATTCTCTGCGCGGCAACCTCCGAGGTGTCTATTGTCATTATATCTCCTCAACACCATCGAGGCATCCCGCGGCCGAATGTATTACTCCGCGCCGTCAAGTCGTCTCATTCAGGAACGATTGACAGAGCACGTCATCTCCTATCTGATTGCGTATCAATAGGCGACGGATGGTTTTTATCAATAAAAGCCAACAATGGTACAGCTGACCAGTGACCCCCGCACGACGACACCTCACATCATATTCCCTTGAATGACGAGATGCCATTCCAACTGCACGTCGATCAACTTCCGAACTGCCTCACTCGTTGACAAGAACTTTACGATGAGACCACCAGAACTTTTTCGCGTAACTACACAATTGAGATATTCTCGAGCAACTAGAAGGCTTCAGTTGGTCTAGCATGCCCTTTTTTTTTGAAGGCTTACAGCACAATATCGTGATATCAACACCGATTGATAATCGATTCAAGCTCATTCATTTGTTCATGCGTTACGGGAAGTTCCAGGTGCCATCTGAGTAACATCTTCATTTCTACACACCATTCTACTATCAGCCGCCTTAAGCATTTTGCTCTTCGGCAAGCAGCTTGTTTGCCCGTTCCTTGTGATGTAAAAACCTAATCAAAAACGCAGTGACTATCATTGCCACAGCAATGAAAATAGAGGTCATATACCCCTTATGGTACACCGGCGCCTCCACCTGCTGCCAAATCAACAAGGGCAGCCACGCCTGAATGACATAGGCCATCTCATTCATGGTACCCGTCACCAGCGCTCTTTCCTCATTGTCGTCGCCGCAAATTTCATGCGCCCAAGCAAACGTCAGCCCGCTGATACCTCCGCCGAAGCCCGCCAGAAGGAAGCAGGCCCATTTCCATCCGTCGGGAATGTTCCAGGCTGCTAGACTGGAGTAAATCACAATGTTCACCAGACCCGAAAAGACAATGGGCGGCCATCTAGCACCGCGGAACACGGTATCAGACGTCCAGGCGTAGATGAGCGTTGTGATCACAGTGATGGCGGCCGTGATTGTCGGATAGGTGTTGACCTCGGTAATGGAGCGTCCCTTCGACTTGAGCCATAGCTGGAACGCTGGCTGGCTGGAGGCTCCGTTACCATTGTTGAAGAAGATGTAGAGCGCCGTGAGGAGGTAGATGTGCCAGCTGGAGAAGATCTTCTTGAACTTGGCCTTGGTGTATGGCGCTCTGGGAGCACGACCTTCGAGGCGCATGCGCTCCTTTGCCAGGGCGATCTCGTCCGCGGAGAAGTACCACGCTTTGGTGATCTCGGGCAGGTCAGGCATGAGGAAGAAACCTGAGATGGCGATGGGCAGGGAGATGACTGTGTCGATGATGAAGAGCCACTGCCAGCCTTTGAATCCTCCGGCGCCGGCTAGGTTCTTGTGGACTGCAGCCATGAGATACCCGGAGAACATGGTGCCTATGGCGCCGCTGGCGTGGAAGATGCAGGATCGCTTGGCCAGTTCGTCTTTGCGGTACCATGAGCCGATAATGTATTGCATGCCCGGGTAGAAGACACTTTCGGCGAGACCGATGAAGAAACGCAAGACGTAGACTTGAGTCGTGGTCTTGCATTTGGCGAGCAAAATGGTCATAATGGCCCATACAACCTCGCAAGCCGGGATCCAGATAGACGGCCGGATACGAGTCAACAAGAGATTGCTATCAGACAATTAGCGTTGGGATAAGGACTCGGGGAAAAGTCATCGAGGGTCGTTGCTCACCTTGGAATCTCTCCAATGACATAGCCAACCGTCCAGCACGTCTGCATGTAGTTCAACTCATTGCCAAACAGCTTCAAATCTTCCTTCATCCCGGAGACGAAGGCATTGGTGATGTTGACTTGGTCAAGATACTTGATGAAGTATCCCAGAGACGCCAGAGTCAGAATCACCGCGTCGAGCTTGAACAGAAAGCGCCTTTCTTCGGGAGACTTGTCCAATGTGTCCCAGACGTAAGACCGCCAACTTCTTTTTGGTTGCTCTTGCACGAGTTCTGTTGATTGTGAGTCTGAGTTGTACTCGTGACTGAAACTTTTGGGCGAACTAGATGGGCCCTGAAGATCGCCCTTGGTGACGACGTCGGAATCTGTGCTTTTCGACATGATGCTCAAACGACAATGCTGGTATTTTCATGAAACCAACGAGTACGAACTCAAGGGACTTGGTCATTTGGGGTTCTTTTGTGTCCATATCGACAACCTCGTGTGGCAGCCGTCGCCACTGGGTCTAAGAAAGACGCCATGAGCTCCAATGTCGCTATGGCTGGTCCATCACTTGCTCTGCGTGGGGGTGAAGTCTAGTCTAGACTCATATTTTATTCCCTTATTGGTTGACCCACGGATATTTCGGATGGTAAACCCGATGGTGTTGGGGGAGATAATTGTTGGTGGTGCAATTGTTCAAATGCAGCAGAGCACACAATCCACCCCAGCGGATGGCGCAAGGTGATATAAAAAGAGGGCACCAACCATTTGGGCATAACCAACATCCCAACCGTTTCCCGTCGCATATGTTGTAAAACCACCGATTGGATACCAGTCCATGCTCTTTGTTCGTTGCGACACATTGCATTTTCGCTTCCCCAACTGGTATACTTGAGGCTTCAAAAACACATCACCACGGAGGTGAACCCCTCACAACAACCGCGGCCGTGGCTCCAATCCCGCAATCACAAAGACAGATTTGACCATAGATAAGGTCAACGGTCAGAATTGTAATCAAGTCGTTTTGCTTGATAATCATACCTCTGTCGGTGTGATACTCGTTCCGGTTCAACAAACAGGATGGATGACTTCTGGAGGAACGATTATACGGTGGTTACTGGTGAATGAGTCTGGACTCCTGGACTTCGAGAGACATAAAAACGTGCAATATATCCACCACAGAGAATGGGGAAAGGAATCATATTCCAAGACAAAGTCAATACTTGACTTATCAAGGCACTCACATTAACCACTCATCCAACAAAATACAATCTCTACCTATTCCATCCACAACATGGCGCCCGCACCGATTCTTGATTCCATCGTTGACACAATTGAGCCCAGGAAGGAGACTCTCCCTCTTCCGGAACCAGCACGTCAACGTCTCCTCAAAGCTGGTATTGACCTCTCCAAGGGTTATCCATACCGGCCATCCGTTCCTCTCTACCTTCAAGATGTTTACAAAATCCGCAACGAGGAGCGGATCTACGAAGATGCAGGCGCTCGAGCTGACAAGTCAAAGAAGAACCTCCTCTCAGCAGCAACCAAGGTGACCGACTTGACCACACACATCGGGACCGAGATCGAAGGTCTCCAACTCAAGGATCTCACCCCTGAGCAGCGGGATGAGCTAGCTCTCCTCATTGCCGAGCGGAGCGTCGTCTTCTTTCGGAACCAGGACCTCGCTCCCCAGCAACAGAAGGAGCTGGGCGAGTGGTTCGGCGAGGTCGAAGTTCACCCTCAGACCCCCCAAGTCCCCGGTATCCCAGGCGTGACAGTCATCTGGCCAGACCTCTTTACCCTGGAGAGACCGGCCGACTTCCGTCGTCCTGGCGGTGCCTCGAATTGGCACAGCGATCTCGTTCATGAGCGTCAACCGGCGGGTATCACCCACCTGCATAACGATACGGTTCCGCCGACCGGCGGAGACACGCTCTGGGCGTCTGGTTACAGCGCTTATGAGAAGCTCTCGCCGGAATTCCGCAAGATCATTGACGGCAAGTATGCCGTGTACCGCTCTGCACACCCATATCTTGATCGGGAGAACCCCGATGCAGGACCCAAGTACATTGAGCGCACACATCCGCTTGTGCGAGTTCATCCGGCCACCGGGTGGAGGGCGTTGTGGGTGAATCGGTCAATGACGGTGAGGATCGTGGGGCTTGATAAGGCCGAGAGCGATGTCATCCTGAACTACTTGTATGATGTTTACGAGAAGAACGTCGACATACAAGTGCGCTTCAAGTGGACACCGGGGACGAGTGCATTGTGGGATAATAGGTGAGTGATCTCTTGTTGCTGAACATTTGGGAACGGTAACTTACCGCGAGTGAATCGTACCAGAATTACCATCCACAACGCCAGCTGGGACTATGGTGGCAGGCACCCCCGTCACGGAACCCGAGTGACGTCTTTGGCTGAGGTCCCTTACTATGATCCAAATGCCCCAACACGGCGGCACGCGCTGGGGTTGTTGGATAATCAAGAGAAGAGTGAATTGGGAGTGGCTGAGTAGTAGTGGCAGAAAATGAAGTAGTTGTGTTCAGAGTTGTTCAGTAGCTTTTGTATTCGTTACCCCTTGAAACCATCACAAGTAACATACGTGACCACTGTTTCAATGTGACAACCTGACCTCAACCAGACTGTCCATCCTCATTCGTGGCTTCCCTACCACGTCAGTAATTGCAAGCCTACCATCAGCACTCGCAAACAGCTCCTTCCACTCGTCGATGGATTTTTCCTTGGCGTTGAACAATGATAACATTGTCAAGTCAAGTGCCCTGGTCATTGCGTCCTGTGTCTTGGGTACTGAATTTGGTTCCGGCAAGATAATATCGCAATTGACGATCCTACTTTCCTTCCCCATAGCTTCGGCAATAGGCTTCAGGATTCGCCTGCAGTACAAGTCAGACCAGTTGTGGAGGATGTTCCGCATGAAGTAGACGGCCGCTCCTCTGGCAGGCTCTGGTTGGGGGTCAAAGAAGTTATGCGGCACAAACTCGACTCTGTCCTTGACTCCCTTGCCTTCCATCAATTCCTCGGTCGCGCCTTTCAAATCCTCAAAGTCCTGCACCTGAAACCGCAAATGAGGATGTGCCTGCGCAATAGAAGCGGAAATATGTCCAATGCCACCGCCAACATCAACAACCAGCGCCCCGTTCGGTAGTGTCTCCCAGGGGTAGGCTCGCGCAATGTTTTCCGCTGAATCGGCGGAGCTACCACCGGAAAAGGCTCCAACAAATTGTCCAAACTTGACCATGTTCTCCGGGTGTCTCTCCTTGTACCCGAAGAAGGTGTCTCCAAACGCCAGCGAGAAAGCCGTGTCCTGTGGCTCGGGGGAGTCGGGGTACCGCTTGACCATGTCGACGAGCTTGGATACGGCAGGGAGCATCTCGGCATGGCGGAACCAAACACAGGCGCGCATCTTCTCGTCAGTAGCGAGTGGTTTGGACCAGGCTGAATGGGCGACCAGACCTGGTTCAGGTTCGGCGAAGTAGAAGTTTGCTATGGCCATACGCAAAAAGCGTGGAAGAAGAGCTTCGCTTAAGCCGGTCTTGGAGGCAAGGTCATGGAAACTGATGGTTCCTTGGAGCGGGACGTTCTGTGGGATCTCGAAATGACACAAGACTTGCATTGCGCCGAGGAGGTAGATCTCGTTGAAACAGAAGTGCTTTGTGGTTTCAACTGGCCCGACGGCGAGGGCGTGGAGGGATCTAGTGGCTTCAATGAGAGCAACACGTGCCCGTGAGACTTCTTCATTGTCCTCGGGAAATGGCTGCGGGGGGCCATCGGCGGAAAAGGATGGCCATGGTAGCCGCCTGGATTCGAGATGTGAAGATAGGAGAGTCGCACTAGACGATATCTCATCCACGAGCGTGGTGAGGAGTGAAGCAGATGTGTCGGCCGGGATATCAGACGTTGCGACCATGTTGAGATTGCCGATGGAGGTTTGAAAGTTCCATGATGAACATGCAAGAGATGTCTAGTTATTAATATGACTTCTCTAGTACGCGGGTGCAGAGAGTGACGGGAACGAGATTGTCAAGTTAACATCCGATTTTGCCAGTTTCTCAAGGTTCTACAGCAGGTGTAAGGACAGGGACCTGCAAGAAAATGTATGGCCTACTTGTGATGTACTGGAAGAGGATGGCCTTCCAAGCAATGTGGAGGCTAGAATCGGACTAAATACAGGATATTGACGGTGCACAATCTGTGTGTGTCCTTGGCCTGCATACTGTTGCGGTTGGTCGAAAGGGCATTTCTCTAGCCGTAGGTATCAGGGACTTCTTTTCAACGCATGTCTCTCTGCAGGCTGCATGCCTTGGTTCATCAAAGTAGATGGTGCATGGACAAAATAGCGCCTTGGAGAGCTTCTGAGGATTAAACTATCCTCAAACTATGTATCCTGACCCGTTATCTTCACTTGGGAACTGCGACAATCAGTCCATTCTGGCATTCCTCCGTATACTGGCATGTCTTTGTGATCTTGAAGCCTGCCTCGTCCAACACCGTGTGCCATTCATTAGCTGTACGTTCCGACTGGACGCTCCCAGCAGAGTTAGCATGGCGATGTCGAACTGAGTGGCTCGCCAAGTAGAGCCGCGCTCAGACAGAACGATCTCATCAATCAAGATGACCGAGTCCTCGGTCATTGCCAGTCTAATGTTCGCCAGTATCTTCGCGCATATATCATGGGGCCAGTCGTGGAAGACGTTGCGGAAGTAGTATGCCCGAGCACCTGTTGTTTTGGTGTTAGCAGTCAAGCCGGGGAGGAAAAGCGTAAATGGCGTGTTCAGATGCTGATGACCTACCTTCAAGGGGCTGAGGAGTGAAGAAATCATGAACCTGAACCTCTATGCCATCAAAGCCAGGCAACGGTGTGGCATTTACCTGCTCAATAACAAACTCTTGGTCTTGAAGGATAAACCGGCCTGGTTGGTCGGGGCATTTTTGTTTGAGGCCAAGAGTTTGATGTCCGTGGGCTCCCCCAACATCAACAAACAGGATTGTATCTGCATCAGCGTTCTGCCATAGCTCCTGTTTGATATCACAGGTGAAACCAACCAGTCGGAGGAGGACCACTCAACATACGAGTCCCCACCAGGTCCCTGGAAATTGGCAGCCTGTTGATGTGCTTCCGCTATTCATCCAAATGGTGCGCTTTGCTGGAGGGAATCGGTTGGGTGACGCTGGTTGATCTGAATGGAATACTACCCCATTCAGGCCGAGGTGAAAGATGGACGACGGATGGACCCGACGTTTACCGTGATGTTACAGGCGTAGCTGCCCCTGCATTGTAAGCAGGTAAGCGAGCTGGCGTGGGTAGGTTAGCGGGGGTTCTCGTGGGGCTGTAGGGCTGTTAGCGCCTTCTCCAAAGCCTAGGCCTGGGATTCAAACCCTCAATCACGGAGCGATCCTGAGCATTACCGCACACAGCACGACTTCCGTGGCTGGGAACACCACGTTGTATTTCCACAACTTGCCCGAGGACCAAGAAGCCGCCACGTTCGATCCACCATACACGTCCCGGAACAGCCACCGTAGACGCTTCTACTGTTTCTGCCGACGGAGAACACATGTCTCGCCGGATGGAACGTTTTGTCTCGCCTGTTGTCAAGGCTGGTTTCCCATAGAGTACTTGTCTCTGAAAACATTCAGGACCGTTGCTAATGTTCTGTCTTCTCGTCGGCAGTTCCGAGACAGCAGCAAGCTCGGTGTACGTATGCTATTACATGCCGGCCACCACGCGTCGTCTCTGTAATCACTCACTCCTCGAGTAACATTACATTGGAAACACGATCGTAGATCTTGTGGTACAGAATGACGTATTATTCCACCTATCTACACGACCTCTCCATTCCTCCCTAAAGGACGATATTCGGGAATCCACACTCAAGTATACTGCCAGGCACCAACAGTTCCAGACGGGAGAGGGTTGATCTTGAGGTTGACAGGAGTGCAGGCGGTCAAGCTAGCCGCGTTCGTCTCGTTTCTTCCCACCAGGTTCCACGCGGTACCGCCACCGCCAGAGGCCTGAGGAGGGCAAGCAACCCAGCCCCAGCCGTTACCGTTCAGATTGACGAAGCCACCGCCCTCGTACGCACCGAAGCCCTGAGTCAGGCTGCCCGTGGGAATGTAGGCCGAGTGAGCTTGGGTGTAGCGCATGTTCCAGTCCGGTCCGAGATAGGCTTGCTGTCCGCCGGGAACCATGGTGTCCATGGAGAGGCCACCGTTGCCGGCAACAAAGGCCGTGATGTTGCCAGGAGGGCATGCGGCGCCAACCACCTCGACAGGGCAGTAGGTGCTGGTGTTGCCCGCAAGGCTCAAGTGCAGGCCGCTGGCAGTCACGGGCTTGCCGTCGATAGGCAAAGTTGGGTTCGACACGGTGAGGGTGAAGGGTGTCCCAGTGTGAGCGGGCAGCAAGCTCAGGACGTTGTTCTCGCACTTGTACATGAACTTGCTATAGCACGCTCCATTGCAGAACGAGAGGGGCTCGCCAGCCGTGATGGGGCAGAGAAACTGATTGCTCCAGCAGACATACTATCACCCGCATGTTAGTCGGATGGCTTCGTCCAGCAGCACTCATGTTTCGACATCCAGGACATACCTGAGCAGGATCGTACTGTGACTGTCCACAGCTGTTCAAGGCGTTCACGGCGCTGTCGCCGAGGGCAAGAAGAGCCGCGCCGAGGAGAGTGAGTCTCGTCATGTTGAGATCGATGAGTGAGATTCTGATGATGATCTTGGTTCTACCACCATCGGACACAAAGCAGAGGGAAGCGACCCGACACTTTATATCACTAGCCGGTCCACCTAATCGACCTGGTGTCACCGTAGGACCATCAAGATCCTTGACTTACCACCTCATCTGAGGGTCCATCTTCGCAGCAACGTGCCCAATGGGTAGTGTCTCTTGGTGGAATATCTCGTATCGTATTCCGTGGCACCGCTTGACCGATAGACTAAAGTCGGTAGCAGCGATCTCAGGTAACCTTTCCGAGGCCTTGGTCAGCCTCTTTTTCTCCATGACCAAGCGCTTGATTGGACCGCCCAGCACATGTTCCTCCGCGCTGACATCGATCAGCATCGGCCCATGTGGTTGGTCTATGTCGTGGTTGTGCAGTTATTCATCCCGAACAGGCCGATTCTGCACGATTCCCCTGGAGGCTCCTGCAGGGTCGACCACGCCAGCCTTTCCGATTACACGGTGAGTCCATCAGCTGTCGGCCCCGCCCTTACGACTTCACTCTTCAACGTCCAGTGATATTGTACTATTTGATCGTCAGTGACCCCGATAGGAAATTCGGTTGTGGCCGCCAATGGAGACTAGGATGGCGCTGATATGCAAGCCGGCTGCCGTTCCAAGTTTTCTCTGCCATTGATGGAACCTGGAGTAAAGCCAAGCACCAATTGCCGTTAGTCAAGTCCTCGTATTCACCAGAGTCAGGTGGTCGGCTGAAGCGCTAAAGTATGGGAATAGCCTGGGCGATGAATAAGCTCCATATGGCAAAAGGCCGAAATAGCCTCAGCTTTACAATCCGGCACCGCATTTCCGCAAGCCTAGACAATTGTTTCTATTATGGACATGAACAGTAAATCGTCAGAGTCAGTCATTGTTCACACTTCACGGTGGTAGACAGGAAGCATCAGCCCATTGTAACGTTAATACGGCCATATGAAATGGAGTCAAGAAGTCATGACTCGCACTACGTCAGAAAGCATACATCAGCTTGGATGTAGCGAGGGTAACAATCTTCCTCTCCGTGAAGGCCTCAACCCGGGCCATGCCACCGAACCGACCATAACCGCTGCTTCCACCGGTCCCTCCTTGAGGCAGAGTTGCCTCGACATACACGGTAGGCCCGTTGATGTGACAAGCACCTGCCCGAACCTGCCTCGCAATGTCGAGTGCTCTGACAACATCCGTCGAGAAAACGCTTGCACAGAGTGAAAACTCACTATCGTTGGCCAGCGCAACTGCTTCCTCGTCAGTTTCGAATTCGGAGAGGATAATGACGGGCCCAAACGACTCCTTCTTTGCAATATCCATATCCCGCTTCACCCCCTCTAGTACGTGAGGCCTCACAATGGTCTTGTTGGGACCCGTGATTTCCAGGTCACCCGCAAGCAGCTTCGCGCCGCCGCCATGAACCGCTGACTTCACCAAGTCGATGACGCGCCTCGCTGACGCCGGCGTGAAAAGGCCCGAGAGCGAGACACCGGAATCTTCCAGATGGTTCCCGGTCTTCACAGTCGCTACCTTAGCTAGAAGTTTCGCTTTGAACTTCTCACTGATGGATCGGTGAAGCAACACACGCTCGGTCGACATGCAAATCTGCCCGCTATATGACAAAGCGCCGAATACCACAGCCTCAACCGCTGCATCAATGTTGGCATCGTCAAAGATAATGACTGGTGCCTTGCCGCCAAGCTCCAGGATACACTGCTTCACACACTCAGCTGCCCAACTACCAATGATTCGTCCGACACGGTCGCTTCCAGTAAAGTTGACCCGGAGAACCTTTGGGTGCTTGACGGCAAACTCGGTCACCTGCGGTGCTCTTTCCGGGCTCGTAGGGAGGAAGTTCAGGCATCCTGGCGGCAGCCCGGCGGCGGTCAAGGCTCTCACAACTAGGTGCTGGCTTTTGGGGCTGAACTCAGATGGCTTCAGCACGACTGTGTTCCCGCAAATGAGGGGACAGGCGACAGCCCTTGCTGTGAGATTCACCTGTTGATACTGATCAGCGCTTTTCAAAGGGTATCAAACTCAGAGCAAGCTTCGCATCACCTACTGGAGCGTTCCAGGGAGCTATCCCAAACACGACCCCGACCGGCTGTCTCTCCATGAATGCCGTCGTCCCGGGACGGTCCGTCGGGATGACTTCGCCTCGTATCTGAGTGGCCAGACCGGCGATTTCCCTCAAGTGTTCCAGCGGTGGAGTGAATGTTGATCTTCACCCAGTAATCTGGCGCCGATATCTCCTGGGACATTATCTCACCGGCATCCTGGTGTAAATACGAGTCGAGTATGTCGGCAGCCTTCAGGAAGACCATTCGTCTAGCGGTAGGACCTCTTTTGGACCATGACTGGTATGCCTCGTAGGCGTTTTCGATGGCAAGGCTGTAGTCGTCGACAGAAGCTGATGCGCAATCGTATATGTGTTGGCCCGTCATCGGGTTGTTGACAGGGAAGGTGGCGCCGTCTGAGCTGGGTTGGGATTTTCCATTGATGTATAGCAGCTGTGGTTGTTCCATGAAAGTGGACAGGCCAGAGCTATGCTCATGAGCCTCGGTCGGCTGTGGATCTGGTGTCATGTTGCTTGCTCTTTCTGCGACTTAGTTAGTACCTGTCCGTGTATGTGAGTTGCTTCCTAACTTGGAAGCACGATGAATCTGACTGGGAAATCCAGTATCAAAATAAGGATGAAGGGTTTAATCCTTGACTGTCGAACGGGGCCGAATTCTTCATATGGGGTATCTGCCGGCGACGAGAGCAACCAGCGTAGCACTTGTGCCGCCGCCTAAATTACTTCTTCCGCTTCATGGTTCTGCCCCGCACGGCAGTGCTCGAGGTTAGTAAGTACATCCATGAGAACTTGGAAACAAGGTCATGAACCGGGGGGTGATAAGCTTCCCATTGATGCTGAACTCAGAATAGGTAGCGCGCCGTTCTAGACAGCGTATATCAATACATGTGAGAAAAGCTGACAAGGAACAGTAAGATCATAGCTATTTGACTGACGACCTTGAGCGGAGAGGTATATATCTATACTCGTTTTTTTTCTCGACGCCTCTTCCGCGCTCTTTTCAATTGCCCGATACGGAGCTGTTGCACCCACGATTTGCAATAATCGTAGATGGCTTGTGCCAGTAGTAGGAGCCCCGTGGCCAACACCACAGGAACCGCAATTTTCCAACTACAGGTTCGATATTAGCAGGGCAGTGACTAATGGAGGTATGCAGTGTCACCTACAAGTAGTTAATCGAGTAATTTGGCCCGGGAAAGTGTTCAAAGTTTTGACCAAAGTAGCCGGTGATAAACGTCAGGGGAAGAAAGATGATGGTGACTATCGTAAGTTGCTTCATGGACTCATTCTGATTCGCCGATATCGTGTTGAAGAGGAGGTCAATCATGCCCTCGGCCGAGCCTTTCAGCTGGGTCAATGATTCAGTGATCAAGAGGCAGTGATCAAGAACATCTCCAAGGTAGATATAGGTTGTCGGTGTGATGATGACGCCATGACTCGGGTCTTGGAGATTCCTGGTTGCTACGTCTTGCGACATGTTTGTTTTGTGGTCGCGGAGAGCGTTTATGAGAGTGATTACTGGGTTTATGAAGCCCAGCATCTTGTTCATCTCGGTGACGAGAATGTAAAGGCTCTTGGTGTGCTTGATATTGGGCTTGGTCAGCACGTCAAGCTCGAGATCGCCAATGACTTCGGTATAGCACGTAGTCACCGGCATGGCTAGGTCAATGATGGCATCAATGATAGCCTGACCGACCATGGAAGCGTCGCAAGACTGCCGAATGATGGTGTCCTTGGTCTGGAGGCGGCGTATAATGGGAGCCTCGACATCTTGAGCCGAACACTCGAAGAAACTGATGATAGTGTTATCTTGAGTGACGAACATGGCTACCTGTTCGCAGGCAACGGCTAGATGCCTAGACACTAAGGCTGAGTGTTGTTTCATGTAATGTGTGCGTGGCTCATCCAATCTTGAGTGGTACGTCTGTAGTGTCCGAAGCCCGCGAAGATTTGGATTGCGGAAGGAGCTTGGTGAGGAGTCGGTCTGACCACAAAGACTACCTGGTAGATTAGGACTTCCTCTCTCGAGCTTTCGGTCTGGGGAATCATGTCTTGTACGGGTGAAATATTCTTTCAAGCGGCTATAGAGGTTTGGACCGCCATTGCCACCCCACTCACCATTTCTCCCGCTGCCTTTCGCTTTATCGCTATCAACGTATTCTGAATCGCTGTCTTCGGCATCTGAGTCCTGTATGTGGACAAGTTTCTGGAGCGTCAAGACGATGAAGACATGAGTTGGGAACCTAAGCGCATCGTCAGAACTTGACCAAGCCGATGAAGGGTCCGCAGGCATATACACACCATTCAGCTTTGATCCTGTTTCGCGTGTTCATGAGATCTTCGATAGCAAGGCGATGCAGGTTCTTGTGCCGACCCAGTAACTGGATGACATCCCAGCTTAGACCATTGACGTTGATCCAGCGGCATTTGACCCATTCCGGCTGGGGCAGGTTCATGAATGTAGCGAGCGTTTCGTTGTTACGCCTATGTGTGGCAAGGCGATCGTGTGAGAAGTCGACCACGGTGATATCACATGGTGCACTAAGGGTAGGCATCGACGCATGTCCTCCATCTGCCTTCCTCGGATCAAGCCCGGGTTCTGCGCCGGCTACACAACATCATAGTTAGCATAGGACCCGGGAAGTCGGTTATAGAATGCCTGCGTACGGTGCCAGCCAGGCCCACCAACATCAAAGTCCTGGAAGTCGTCGACGGTCTTAAAAATACCAGATCGAACAGTCGAACGACGGCGGACGCTGGGAATATCCGCGGTAGAAATGGTGGACAGTGTGTCCATGTGAGCCGGGGTGGTGCCCATTGAGTTGTCGTATGGATATTGGACGTGAGGCCTTTGTGATCGGTCGTCATTCCATCCATCATCCTCCCCATCTCCAGGGGTCATGGATTGCATTGGCCATGTCCCCTGTGCAGCGAAGTCACGGGCGTTGTGATATGCTCCCATACCCGGGATAGCTTCGTTGTTTTCAGCACCAACATCGCGACTGTAGCTGCGACCGTGATTGGCGTGGGTTTGCACACCAACGTCGTCATTACGACTGGGCGACCTGGATCCCATTATGCTCCTGGCAAATTTCAAAAGGCACAAACAGCCCTTCTTCCTTCTGTCGCGCTTTTGACCGGAACGATATCGCGTGCAGGGTAGCTGACATGCCGTGGATTCAGTATGCTCACGGTTCGCTGGAAGAGGGATGCCAAGAGAGACAAATAAACAGGGGAGTAGCTTCGGCAGTAAGATGCTACTTGTGATCGAAAGCCAGAGTTTCTTGCACAGGTGAGAACTATAAAATCCGGCGATGCAGCGGTCTACTGAATATTCTTTCCATGTTGCCTCGAGCCAAGGTGTACGTCCCTTGCAGTGTAAATGTGGTACTCGGAGCTAGGAAGTTGTAGATCATCCAACGTCGCGTCGGTCTTTCTTGGTTATCAGCGCACGAACAAACGAACCGAGCATTTGAGACGAAGAACATCGTCATGCAATGTTATACAGCCGGCTTATCAATATGAGAGCAACCGATATAACCAGCGAGACGGAAATGGAAGATGCGTGATGCATCAAAAAGGCCCAAAAAAAAAACTAAAGGGAATAAAAGAAAAAATATGGGGCCACCCGGGGATTGAACCCGGGACCTCTCGCAAGAATGCTCAGGATTGAACCCTAAGCGAGAATCATACCACTAGACCAGCGGCCCTGATTGGTTATTGAACCTGCCGTTTAAAGTTTTTACCTATATTCTACACCAAGTGTATCAGCACCGCTTGCTTCTCGGGGCAGGTGTTAACGACAGACCCCCACTGGACAAAGTTCATGTTCTCAACTTTGCAGGTTTCCACATCATTTCCCTTTCCTGAACTGTGCTATGGGCGGTTGATCGGGTGCCCCCAACCACACCACTACTCATTGCATTTTCTTCTTAATTATACTCAAAGTTTTCATCACTCCACTGCCTGTGACCAAGTCCAGTCCAGTCAAATACAACTGAAGACCAAGGTAATGCAGCCAACGCAGTGTCGCTCAACAAAGTCCAGTAGCAGACAACAAAGCAAGACCGGAGCGCGTGCGAAAAGATACACAAATCGAACCATCCAAGCCGTTGCCGATTGAATATCAAAATCCCGACATACGAGAACATCCATCGGGTAGATTACTTCTCCAGCTGAGAATGCACGTCTCTGAAACAACTGCGCATCGCCCATGCCTCGAGTCTGGACCTTTGCTCACTGAACACTCACACCTTTCACCACTTTCATGCCTATTCCCCCCTACTCCGGCTTTTGACCGTACACCACCTGCCACCTCACATATCCGTGTATGCTCATATCCTTCAATTCTCGGCGCGCATGAGCAGCGAATACCGCGATCTGCTCCTGTGTCCATCCCAATACATTTCCAAACATGAACTGCATGACACCTTCAGCATCAGACGAGATCGCCGCGTAATAATAGAGACCAACTTCCTTTTGCTTCGGGTCCCTTGGCCAGGGCGAGGTAGGCATCTATAACACACAAATTAGCGTTCAATTTCCGAGGGACAGTGCTATTAGGTGTGCTGCTAAGCGGCTCGCTTTCCCGTCATGTCAAACAAGCCCGTTGAGCCCCGCAGTAATGAATGGGGATGAAATGTGGCCGTACCTTGAAATTTTTGACTTCGACGTTTATAAAGCCGGCATCCCTCATCGCCTTCTCCATCAGGCCATTGTCAGCCATCGCCATGATCTTTCCGATCTTCTTGCCCGCCTCATCGAACAATTTACCCCACTGGCCCCATGCAGACTCCGGAAGAACAGTGCCATCGTCAGACTTGATCATTGTCGAAAGATCAGAATGCTCGAGCCAGCCGCCAGGCTTGCAGCACCGGTACGCCTCTTTGTAGACTTCCGTCAAATCTCCAAAGGCCCCGTTCAGAAACTGCATATGGATGAAATCGAAATGGTCTTCTCGGAAGGTCCACTCCTTGGTAGCGTCATTGATTTCGAACTCGAGATTGGGGGGGACCCAGCTAGGCTGGACAGGCGAAATATCGGTACCGACCACCTTGCAGTTGTTGTATTTGTCGGCAAAGTCGATAGCCCATATTCCTGAGCCTGTACCGATATCAACGGCATTCTTAAGGTTGCTCTCTACGAGCGGTGCCTGATGTAGTTTTCCACCAAGCATGAGATCGCAGGCGTGGTAGATAATATCGAGGGCTTCGATGTGTTTGGAATCGTTAGGACCCCAGTACTCCCCGTCGGTTACGGAGTCGCTGTGGTAAGTCCGGCCATTGATGGTACGGTAGTTCAGGATGCTCGAAGAAATCGAGGCAGTCGAACTGTCAGCGTCACTTCCTAGGGATGAGTCTGTATCATCACCGTCGTCTAGCTGCGGAAGGCCTTGCTGAAGCCAATGTGAGCCAGGGAGGGCGTCAGTCGGCTCGATCGCCGTCCTCGCAGCAGGAGATGCTGCACCGGGAGATGCGGGTTCAGGGGATGTAGCGCCAGGGGTTGATGTCTTCGCTTTGGCGACATCCGGGCTTCCAGGCGTTGGCGATTGGGGCTTCCTCTTCACGGGGGTACTCATGGCTGGAGGCTGTTGTCTCTCAAGTCCAGTGTGTGTAGGTACTTGTTGGATTAAACAAGAGGAACAAAGATGCAGTGAATGTCAGACAAGGATGCGAGGACGGTGGCCGCTTGAGAACCAACTCTCACGCGGCCGGGGATGCTTCTTAAACGAAACAGAGTCCCAACCGCGCCGACCAGGTGCCTCGGGCCTCTAAGCCTATCTAGGAAGCTGTTACGCCAATGTGCCTGATCGCTCTGCTCTTTCAGGCCTGCGTGCAAACTGAGGAAGATTCAAACGCAATACCGCTTTTTCTCATTCAAATGAGATTCATCTAACCCCCTTGTATAGGTACCTAGCCATCCTGAAAGTAGTAAAAGAGTTCTCTGCAAGCACTACCGCTTTTTTTCACTCGATATGGTTTTACTCAACCAATCCTGCTACTGGATCGTTCCCAAGAAACCCTGTGACCCGCATCAACTCACTAGAAGATTGGTCGTATCCCTTGTTAGGCTTTGCTAGTCCGGATCTCAGCGCAGGTTGAGTAAAACCACATCAAGTGATAAAAAGCGGTACGCTACTAACGAACTTTCCGGGAGGGGATTGTACACGTGCTACGTTTTTATCGCGTAGGACAACGTAGATCACGGAAGTCGGCAAAATAGATCCGTAACTTCGGGACAGAAGCACAACGCCCGCAGTAATCACAGTGTATATCACGTTCAGCCTGTGGTATACACGGTACCGACGGCATCGTTGAAGCGGTCGTTCGACCACTTATTCACCGTTGTCTCCTTACAAATTTCCTGTTCCAGAAACGCCGTGCCGCCCAACTGGGTCTTAGTCTACCACCCTGGCAGCCCAGCGGGACACCGGCAACCCGGGCAGGATCCTATCGGACAGCCGATATTCCGTCCGCACAGCAGCACGAACGGTACATAGAGGTACGTATTTCAAAATAAGGTCTGAACAACCAAACCATAGGTTGGAAGAGGAAGAAGAAGAATGTATTTTACGACTACGTTCTACCAGTACATGATAATAAGTCGTGCCCGCGACGGCGGCAGGGCAAAGGTACAAAAAGCAGGCAAAAAGTCCCATGGGTCAGGCTCTAGCTTGGCCGGGGGCAGAAAAACCTTTCCATCTCTGAGTTGGCGTGCGCGTCAACCGGCGGGGGAGAGCCCCTCGCATTCAACGGTCATTGCGCGATTGGGTTTGCAGCATTCAACGCCGTTGTGACCTCACAACTGATAAGCACGATTGTACAGACTAGGGAACTCAAGATGTGCAGTAAAACGAAACTGAATTCCGTAAAGAAGTATTGTGAAAGCGTGATCCTACGAGAGGTAAACTGCAAGACTAGAAGCCACAAATCAAAGTAATATTAAGTGTAAGGAGGAAAAGGGAAGTAGTCAAACGAAGGTATTACGGTTCTGGATATATAAGTTAGAACTGCCAGTCGTCGCCGCCTTCCTAATCCGTACAGCTTATCAATAAGAATATAAACCTTCTATTTAACATACTATAGTACTCTATGCCCGGTACCCTATTACCTAGTCGCTAATGCTCGAGGAACTTGTCCAACTATACTATAACATTACCCCCCCCCTTCCGAAGAAAGGTTCAACCCTAAAGCCGTAAGAGAAAAAGAAATATAAAATAAAAGAAAAGAAAAATATAATTATATAAAAGGTCGTAAATAAATATATAAACCTATTGTAATAGTTGGTTCAATTTATTATATTGCGATAGAAGAGAAATAAAATAAAACTCTATGCTAAGAATCGTACAATGACAAAATGAAATAAATATATAAAATCATTATAACGGTTAATATAATTTTTTATATTATAATAAAAGTTTTTAAAAGGAAACGTGAAATAAATTCTACTCCGCGTATTACGATTATATTTTTCATCTAATTGCCATATTACTAAAAATTATAAATTTTTTTTCCCCTAATTGGATTCGAATAGACCGCTTCCCAAGTAGAGGACAAATACTATCGGACCTTAGCGTACTCTCGTCAAATAGTATAGGCTATTATACAATACTACTATACTATATAATTAATATTATAGTCTATAATTGATTATTATAATTGTTCTTCTTATTAATTGCTACTTTTTTCTTCAAAACCTCCTTAAAGCCTTACTTTTTATTAATCCTTCTACTGGTAGGTTATTGTTTTTATAGTCTTTAGTGACTATATTATTTTCTATCGCTTTTAATTATAAATATAACCTTTTCGGTGGTCCCGGCTTTTCTAGGTTATTATTGTAGTATTCCCTTAATTTTCGTACCGCGTTTTTAAATCCCTTAGCCTTATATTAAATTAAGTTTAGGTCCTAACCTTTCTAATTAATTTAGTAATTTAATTGCCTATTAATTAATTTATAAATTATAATTTCTTTTACCTCCTATTCTTCTTTATCGTTAATAATTTCGCCGCCCGGTTTTTGTTAGTTTACCCAAGTAGTAAATTACTTAGGTCTTTCTTTAATCGGTTAGTATAGAATACTTTTAAACCTTTCTAGGATGTTAGGATTTCTAATTCGTACGAATATCCAATCATTCCAACGATTTTATAAAGTATATAAATTAATAGAAAATCTAATTTATTACTTAGTTTATTAGTAGATTAAATCTTTTTAATAATAAAAACCTTATTATTAACCCTAAAATCCGGTTAGCGTCGATAACAGTTCGTTTATTTCGTTTATTTTTTTAAGCCTTATAAATTGCCGATTTAGCTATAGTTTATACCCTTTCTAATCTTTAAGCTCTTTATTTTATTTTCTTTTTTAATAATTTCTCCTTTGGGGTACTTTATTGCTTATTATATATTCTTTATATCTAGTCTATCGTAGGTAGTATGTATTTATATCCGAATAGGACTTTGTATAGCGATATTCCGTTTAAATTCTTATATGGAAATATCCCTTAGACGAAATCTAAAGCGGGTAGTAAATCCGACCAATCGTTTTAATTATAAAATATATAGGGTCTTAATCTTTGATTAATATATTCATTTATAATCTCTACCTAGCCGGCGGTTTATAAGTGACCGGTATTGCTTAATTTCTATTTAATCCGTAGTAAGTGAGCTAATTCTTAAGTAAAATCCGGAATAAATTGGGGACTTCTATTATTTATAACGTTTTAAAGTAGACTCAAAATTCAGTATAGTCCTTTATAGTAGAATGGGGCGGCCTTTTTTCCCATTACTATATCTTTATATAGGATATATTAAAATAGTTTTGAAAAGCGGTCGATTATTATTAATACGTTGTTATACCCTTTTTTATTTTTAGGTATAGATTTGAAGTTTATAATAATAGATTGCTACGCTCTATAATCGGATTAGGGAAATATAGTAAAAAATAATTTAGGGGTTTTATTCAGTAGGACTTTTAAAGAATAATGAATATAGTAATTATTAATATATCGGTTTATATTTATTATTAACTTAGGCTACTAATAATGAGGGGTAATTATTTTTCTCATTTTATTCCTCCTTGGATATACCGTAAATAGTATATTATAATATTTTTTTTTTATTACTTTAGTCTTAAAGTTATTGGTATTTAGGACGATGAATTTCCTATTATATAGTATTAGGCTTTATATATATAAGAGGTGCGGGTCTTTTTCGCCTTCGTCGTCGGCCGCCGAAGTGGTTTTCGTATAATAAATAGAAATAGATTTATTCGTTCGGTTAGCGTGCAAAATTTATTTAATTAATAATTGTAATCAAATATGATCTTCTTTTCTTTATAGTTATTCGTCGCCGCTTTAATCTTTAGACCTTAATTTGACAGGGGCTAGTACTATTGGCGTAGGTAAAAAGATAATTAGGAATTCGGCTATTAGCGTTTTTTCTTTACCGCTAATATATATATAAATTCTATTTTTAGATTTTAAGAATCTTAATATCCATTAGTCCTCCCTCTTTTAGATTATAGTTTTTATTTCCTTTAATTTTCTTAATGATATATTCGCCGCTATATTATCCTTGCTAGGTCGGTATATTATTTTAAAATTATAGTTTTGCTTATTTAATTTAATATAAATTAAATAATTCTTTTATTAAGAAATATTCTAATACTTAGTAATTTATGATTATAGTAAATAGTTTATTAGCATTTTTTAATTCTAAGCACTATAATTTTAGTTTCTTTTAATTATTATTAAGAGTTCTTTATTATAAACTGGGCTTGGCACTGAATTACACCGAAAGGGTGTTGTACGATTACTGTCTGACTGTATTACAGGATTGAAAAAAATAATGTGCACGTTAAACCCTAACCCGATTGGTGCCCGTATAAGGTTTGGTGCCCGTGTAAGACGACCCTGGTGCCCGCGGATGAAATGCCCTTAATATTAAAGTTATTTAATTTGATTAAGGATATAACCTTAATACCAAAATTCTTGTACTTTCTAATATAATAGTATACCTATTAGTCTTTAATAAGAAGCTAATTCTTCTAGATATATTGAAGAACCATTTTCTGGCCTTGAAATTGGGTTTTTGATTTCTCCTAAATAGCTTAGAATTTTGGTTTAGTATTGGCGTATATTATAAGTTTGAATATATTTACAACGTCATAGGGGTCGTTTATAGTTTTAGCCGCCGCCTTCGAATTAAAGTTGTATATTAATAAGTAAATGCCTTAATTAATTAAATTAAAAGACATTAGATTATCCTAATTATTTTTACGTTCCTTATCCTTAAAATTATCGTCATCGTTATCCTTTTACTTCTTTTACTTCTTTTTAATATTAAATAATACGTTCTTAACAATGTAGAATAGATAGAGTTGTTGCTGGGTATTAGGGAAAGTATTACTAAATAATTACTTTATTTCCTTATATTTATTTATAACGACGACGATAGATTTAAGAAAGTTGTACCGTAAGTTTAATTTTTTATTATCCTCTATTAGGAAATTACATACTTCCTACTTCTCGTTGTTAATAATACTAAAAATATAATTAAATACCGAATTAGTAGAAGAAAT